TGGGTGTGTGTGTGTGTGTGTGTGTGTGTGTGTGTGTGTGTAGACCAGATCAATGTCAGGCGTCTTTCTTTGTCCCTCCCACCTGCCTGGCACAAGGTTTGCAAGTGCCCCCACCCCTAGCTTTTCTCATAGGTGCTAGAGACCAAACTCAGGTATTCATATTTGTGTTTCAATTCCCACACATAACTGTAGCTACGGAAGCAGGCAGTGCAGGCTAGCTCCTTGCATTTGAGGAGCTTATATTGTATTTGTAATGAAATAGGGGGAAAGACTTCATACAGGTTCATGGTGGCAGTTCAAAAGTCATAGGAGAATATCCATTAGAAATCTTGCTTCCAGGGGCTGGAGAGATGGCTCAGCCGTTAAGAGTACCGACTGCTCTTCCAAAGGACCCAGACTCAATTCCCAGCACCCACATGGCACCTCACAACTGTTTTGAATTACAGGGATTCCAACACCCTTACAGACACACATGGAAGCAAAACACCAATACACATAAAAATAAAGAAATAAATCTGTTTTTCTCACCTCTACTCCCAACCCCCCCTCTTTCCCTTCCCAGAACCATTTTATACACATGAACGCATATTTATGTATGTTTCTCTCTCGTTCTCTTTTCAGTTCGGAAGTCTTATTTTATCTACTATTTTGGTTTAGCTTCTTTAATTATTTTTTTAGGCTGAGTTGCTGTATAGCTCATACTAGCCTTGAACTCCCAATCCACCCACTTCAGCTTTCTCCTTTCCCTTTTCATTTTTACTTGCTTTATTTATTTATTTTATTTTTTGGAGACATGGTCTCTTGATATAGCCCTGGCTGTCCTGGAACTAGCTCTTCAGAGCAGGCTGGCCTTGAACTCAGAAATCTGCCTGCTTCGGCCTCCCGGCCACCACACAGGCAGGATCTGCTTCAGCTTTCAGAGTGATGGAATTACAGATGTGTACCACCATGCCTGGCTGCTCTACTGTCTTCTATTTCTTTTTCTTTTCTTTTTAAAAAAAATTAACAATATACCTTATTGTTCTCTACCCATTGGGACAAATGGGACTGCCTCAGTATTTCAAAATGTGTTGATTGTTATGTGTATGAGAGTTTTGGCTGCCTGTATATATGTGAACCATGTGTGTATCTGGTGCCTGTGGAGGACAGCAGAGGGTATCAAATCTAGTGGAGCTTGAGTTACAGTTGTGAGCCCTCATGTGGGTTCTGGGAACTGAACCCTGGTCCTCTGCAAAGTGGCAAGTGCTCTTAAGCACCAAGCCATCTCTCCAGTCTCAAATGAATGTAATTTTTTTTTTTCCTAAAGACAAAACCTAAGTACCACTGCTGGCTTGGAAATTACTGTGTAGACCAGGCTGGCTTCTAACTTACAGAGATTTACCTACCTCTGTTTCCCAAGTGCTGGGATTAAAGGCATGTGCCACCACCGCCCGTTTTGTATTTGGTGGCTCTATATAATCTTTTGTTGTTGTTGTTGTTTTGTTTTGCTTTTCAAGACTGGGCTTCTCTGTGTAGCCCTGGCTGTTCTGAAACTCACTCTGTAGACCAGGCTGTCCTCCAACTCAGAGATCTGCCTGCCTCTGCCTCCTGGGTACTGAGATTAAAGCCGTGCACCACCACCATCTGGCTGTAACCTTTTTTAAAAGCTATGCCAGCATTTTTTTCAACAGATCTCATGAAAGTAGGTGTATGGATTGCTCCTAGTCTTTCATTATAGTAAGTTGTAATAAATAACCTCGTATCAAGATTTTATAAACACTTGATAGAAAGTAAGGTTGAACTTCTAAAACAAAAGGGATGTTGTTAGGTCAAGGGAAGGCACATCTTGCATTGCCACAAGTTTTGACAAGTCCATGGAATTTGTTGATGGGTGTGTAAACTGGTCCAGGCTGTGTTTTACACATCTACTCTGCTGTGGCTCCTGGGGTTTTACTGACTGAGAGCCTTAACCCTGTGTGTTATTGTAAACGAGATTGAACATATTTTGTGGTTAGTTTAAGGGTTGTTTCTATTTTCTTTCTGGAGAGTTATCTAGGCCACTTTCCCATTTTTCTACTAGTTGTTCTTGGAATTTGGGAGCTTTTTATGCTCTAAGGAGGTTGTCTGTTACATGATAATCTATGGGCAAGTTTTGACTTTGTGAGATCTCTTTCAAATGGATTTCAGAAGCAGTTTTTATGCAATCAATTTATTTTTGTTTTGCTATGGGCTCTGGGTTTATGTTTCTTAGAATGGCCTTCCCCATGGAGACATCTTCAGAGTTGTGATTTCTTCTAGACCTTTCTGATTCTGTTTTGCATGTTTAATGCTAACTTGCCTGGAATAGTTCTGGGTCCTCTGGCCTAACTTTTCCCTCCCGACTCCTCGCACTTTGCTGTGGAGTTTTTGCCAGCCCCCTTCTGTTCTTCTGGCCATTTCTGAACATTTAGCCCCTGTTCACTGGCTCCTCCCTTACCGATTAGTTACTTTTCTTTTTTTTTTTTTATTCCTTCCCAAATGTAGCATTTAGGTAAGCCCTAGTGAAGAGGGGGAAGAAGAATCTAGATTTTTATTTGAAGTTCCTTGTTAAGTAAGCTCTGTGTCCCAAGCATGCCTGCTTCCTTCTGTTTGTCCTCCCCTGCCCGTAGCAGTCAGTCCGTGCTTGACCCATCACCTACTTTCACCTTAGACCTTATAGCCCTCCCAGGGGCCTGACTAGATAGATGCCTTGCCCTCTGTGCACTTTTGCCTGGGGAGGTGGCCTGAGCTAGAGGTGTGCCATAAAGCCCACAGGAAATGCGTATTTTCTGTGTGCAGAAAGAACCCTCTGCTCCACCACAACCAGATCTGGCTAGCTGCCCACACATTCCCAATATGATTTAATGCTTTGTCATTTTATTTCTTGTGATTACAGAATCTCCTTTTCAGCTCCTGCCAAAGCCAGTTACGTTTCGAAAGAGTCTGCTCCTTGAAGAGTAAGTGTGCATTTTTTTTTTTAAATATGTTAGATTAAAAGAGGAGCAGGCTTTCCTGAGACTGGGGAGTCTCTAGGTCAGTGTGTGTGGTGGGGAGGAATTAGTACTTGGGCATGGGTTTTCAAAACTACAGTATACAGTCCAAAAGTCCCTAAGGTTTTCAGAGACCGTCTAGGAGCAGGGCTCTGATATAAAGGCTATCTAGAAGGCAAAGCCATAGAAGAATGACAGTGCTCTGCTGGGGAATGTGTCACTGGAACCAGGGAGGAGTGAGTTTATCAGTTAGCTATAGGATAGCAGTACCAGAAGGGGACAGAGCAGGAGACAGTGTGGGCAGGAATGAGACAGGAAGCTAGTTTATTGGGGTGTAGTCAGCATTGGGAAGTTGAGTTGGGACCATATGTGGTGATTTCATCTGGTAGGTGTTTGACCAGCTGAGCCCAATCCTTGCTTTGAACTGAGGTGAGTCCTTCTGGAGATGGTGTTGGGAGGACAGTTGATATGTCAGAACAGCGTTTACAGAAAGGGAGCCAGGAGAAACAAGGACCTGGCTCCATTGTACAGCCAAGGGAGCATGTCTGACTGATTGATAGACAGTTCTACAACTGATGTGGATTGCTCTTCCTACTTAATATTTCCACTAAATACTGAACCAAACCGATCTAATTGATTGTTTGCAAGGGGGTTGTCCCAGTATGACTCCCAATGCTATATGGTCCTGTATGGGTGTGACTCCCAGTGCTGTGTGGTCCTGTATGGGTGTGACTCCCAGTGCTGTGTGGTCCTGTATGGGTGTGACTCCCAGTGCTGTGTGGTCCTGTGTGGGTGTGACTCCCAGTGCTGTGTGGTCCTGTATGGGTGTGACTCCCAGTGCTGTGTGGTCCTGTATGGGTTTCACTCTCAGTGCTGTGTGGTTCTGTATGGGTGTGACTCCCAGTGCTACGTGGTTCTGTATTGGTACTCCTATCTACATGTGGCTATTGAGTACTTAAAAAGCAGCTATCTGTAATTAAGAAGTGAACTTTGGATTTTCTAAATTAGTAAATTATTAAATTTATGGCACTGAACATTGAACTTCGCAATTCTTATGTACTAGGCAAGCATTCTGTCACAGAACTATATCTCCAGAAGTTATTCAAACTTAAACAGCAATTTCCATAGACTTAGACTGTTGACCTGAGTGCTAGTATCTTTTCACCATTCTGTACCTGGTACAATGAACAAGTGAATGGAAGGTACGTTGACATTGGGAGGCTGTTATGATCTATGGAGTGAGACAGACCTTGGTGAGTGTGTCAGGTCCAAGGAGCCCCCCCCACATTGGGTGAGAGACAAATACACCATGCAGACAGAGTTTTCATGGGAAGTTTTATTGGGGGAAGAGAAGGGAGAGAGGAGGTGGGGTGGGAAGAGAGAAACAGGAAAAGACCTGCCTGCCTCTTCAGAGGAACATCAGGAAGAGAGAGCAGGAGTGGGTGGAGTTTGTCTCTTAAAAGGACCTTTTGTGCCTGTGTACAAAGCCAGGATACTGCTTGCCATGTGGGGGTGATGCCCTCTGCCAGGTCCCCAAGGGGCGGGACCAGATGTACCTAGATGATAACATTCTTCCCTTCTTTTTTTTATTAACGGTGAGGAGTTAGGCGTGGCAGGTTAGGGAAATGAGGGCACTGAGTTCTTGAGGCTGCTTCCTGCTGACCTGGTGGGGGCATTGACTATCTTTGGGGGAACCTGAGAAAGTTGGGGTACTGTTCATATCCTGGGGTAGATGGTTGTTTCATTGCTGTCCAGGCTATGTGGAACTGTTCTGTGTAGTGTCTCTTGGACCTGGGAAGATGCTGTCAGAGCAGAGGACAAGGTTAAGTTTAGGGGGAAAGTTTTCCTTAGGTCCTGGAAATTGAGGGTGGGGGATCGAGAGACCAGGAAAGGGTGGGATAGTACCTATCTGAAGTAATTCAGCCTGTTCGGGTGGATCCAAGTTTTGACTCCCCGGAGCTTACAAGAATTATTTGAGTTTGTGAAAACATAAGTTTTAGACACATTAGCATTTTTACTATTTGTAACTGAAAAGTTTCTGCATAGGGATAAGCCTCTCCACTGATGCAGCAATCCAAATTAGACCACATCTTAAGTTTTGCATCTGAAAACACCTTCTATAAAGTGTCTTTAGACAAAGCAATGGCAAGAAGTTAATACTGAAATCTGTTTTGTGAGTTTATCGCTTTTCGGAGGCAAACTGTGTCTAGACTTAGTGTGAGCTCCAGGAGAGTGAGGCCTGTGACCTGAGCTTTACACAGAGAACTGAGAAGGCCGCTGAAGCCTTGGCTGCTGCTTTTAAACTGGCAAACCTACTGTCGTCAAACAGCATCAGAGTTCTGAGAAGCATAACATTTTACCTGAATTAATGATTAAAGATGACAGAGACTTACTTGCTTGGCTACCTAGACAGCCACTCCAGGGTCCTCCATAGTCGTTGAGGGCAGAGATCCAGGGCAACATTCATCTTCTGGCTGGCAGAGGTAGGGCCTGTAAGGCCCCAGAAGATCCCACAGGCTTCTGAGGAGTAAGATGGTGGTTAGGTAATCTGACCTGTCTGTCTTTGCCTTAGCCAAGACGACACCTGCCCACAAACCACATCCAATTAGCAAGACACATGTAAAGGACACCTAAAACTCAGGCATTCAAAGAATAAGGCATTTAAAACAGTCAGAAGCACACACATGTGGCCATACCTTTCACACACATTTTTTCCTCATATATATGAGACAGACTGAAAGCAAAAACCCTCTTCAGACATCCTGAGTCAGTTGCTGCCTGTGTTGGGCCAGCGCCCTGCAAGTGGGCAGTGGGCAGTGGGCAGTGGGCAGTGTCTCTGCCAGCATCTATACAGAGGGGTAACAGAGTGGTGGGAAAGAGGAATCCTCCCCCCCCCACACACACACACTCCCTGCCCGGGGCAGTGGCATGATGAGAGCGAATAGAGATGGAACAGGACAGGCTAAGCCATAGCCACAGTGGGAGGCCTCTGGGGCAGGCAGGAGAGAGAATCTCAGCTTGGGTAGATGACACACTGGGAACAAGAGGCAGACAAAGAAAGAGAATGAGGAGAGAGAACAGAGAGAGCTTGGGGCCATAGGGTACATATTTCCAACTATTGGAATGTTGTAAATGTCCCATAAAATACCAGGATATGATAAGTGGCTATGTGGATTGATATCTGAGAGGGGTGGGTGGTATTGGGGTAGGCACATTCTCCATGAGTGAGGTACAGATAAGGTCCAGAGGCTGTACTCTAGCATCGCAGAAATGCATCGTGGGCCGCAACACAGGCTGGCCTTGGGTCGTCACCTACAAAGTCCAGGGGCCTGGTGAGTGGGTGGGCACAAGCTGTTCTGCTTCTTTGTGTAGAAGACGGATGGGCTCTGGTCCTGAAAGAAGTGTGGTTGGGGCTTTTGAGCGAGGCTAAAGGCAGAAAAACCACAGTCGTGAGACGAACCCTCACTCATGAAAGCAGGGCCAGACGTGGAGAGGGAGGGATTTACCAGACATGCCAGCATTAGATGTAGAATTCCAATGATCCATAGCTGGAAAAGTGACTGGGTTGAAGGTTTCAGGGTCCTGGCCCATCTCAGAGTGCCATATCAGACTGCCGGTGGGCAGGAGGAACTGCCAGGAGAGCCCGCTGAGTCTTTCACAGCACCAAATGTTATAATACAATGCAAGATGGACCTTGGGAAGTTCGGGTCCAAGGAGCCCCACAGGGTGAGAGACAAATACGCAGTACAGGAAAAGCTTCTGTGGGAGATTTTCCTGGGGGAAGGGAGTAGAGTAAGAGAAGAGAGAGAGACAGGAAAAGACCTGCCTGCCTCTTCAGAGGAAGAAGGGGGAGGGGGATATGGGTAGGGCTTGTCTCTTAAAGGGACCTTTTGTGCCTTTGGACAGAGCCAGGGTACTACTTGCCATGTGGAGTGACATACTCTGCCAGGTCCCCAAGGGACAGTGCCAGATGTGCCTGGATGATAACAGAGGCCATATGGATGGGGGAACTGTCAGCAAAAATCGGTGACTCAGAAGAAACATCAAGAATTAACGTCTGAGGCATTGTAGGACCCTAGTGCCATGGGTGGTCAAGCAGGCTTTAGAAAAATCTAGAAGGAAATCCTGTCAAGTATGTTGATATGTATAATTCCCTATAGGAGAGAGTGGCAAAGAATGGAGGTGAGGGAAAGTCAGGAGAGCATTATGGGAGTAACCAGGGACAGTAAAAAGCTTCTGTGCGTATCCAGGGAGAACATGAGACGATCACTGGGGTACCCAGCCAGGCATGTTCAGCCATGGCTCACTTCAGCAGCAAGGCTGTTGGAGCCTCCAATTACAGAGCGGGAATGAGCTCAACCAGAGTGGAGGAGGAGATGAGATGGCCACAGAGAAGGTAGAGGAGAACAACCAGGCCTGTTTTAGCTGTTGATCTTCAGTGATAGTTTTGAAGAATCTCTTTCTTTCTAGGAACTAGTTCAGAAGTTTGTGGAGAAGCAACACTGTTGACCAGTGGGAACCCTGCACTCAAATTTCAAGAACATAGCACCACCATTTTCACCACTACCCGGCCCTCAGAATTAAACCTGCTCTACCACTGAGCCATGTCCCCATGTCCAACAAATCAAAAACCACCAAATTTATTTTTGAGAGAAGATCTTAAGTTTCCCAGACTGGCCTGGAACTTGCTACTTAACCCAGGAAGGCTTTCAACTAATGATTCTCTTGCCTTGCCTCTCATGGAGCTTGTATCACAGGCCTTAGCCACTAGGCCTCGTTAAAATCAGTATTTTTCAGGACTAGAGAGATGGCTCAGCACTTAAGAGCACTTAATACTCTTGCAGAAGACCCAGGTTCAGTTCCCAGCACCCACATGGTGACTCAAGTTCCAGGAAATCCAACCCCCCTCTTCTGGCCTCAGTGATCACTATATCCATGTGGTACACAAGCATATATGCAGGCAAAATACCCATATACACAAAATAAAAATAGCAGTATTTTTCTAGTGGTAAACTTTATGGGGAGAACTTTTTATGTTACGTAACTAAAGAAACATACGCAGCACTCAATAGTTTTAAAAAACATAGCGGCAGGAATAAGGAATGAACAAGATTGGTAACTTGTAAAAGTTGTTGTTGTATTAGCATGTGTTGACGTAGTTCTATGGAAATATAATGGATACCTATGTAGCCATTGAATTGGGAGTTTTATGCATAACTGATGTTCAGTGCATGTGTGGTCTAGAGGACATTGTATGGGAGAGGCTGAGATATGAGGTAGGGAGACTTACGGGGTTGAGTTAGAGTTCAGGTCATGCTACTTACCAACCAGGTGAGCTTGGGGGCTATTTTTGTTGACTTCCTTGGGTTTTGATGGAGACATGTTTCCCATCTCATCATGTTATAAGAGAGAAAATGGGAAGATGGCTGTTAATCCCTGCACAAGGCTGGCACAGGGGAGTTATTGGTGCATGGATACCACTCTTATATCTGACGGTGCTGGTGGTGGCTACAGTTATGATTTTTGTTGTAAAAGGCATTATTGTTTTGGACAAAGACTTTAGTTTGCCAACTTTGATAGACTATAGGTGGATATCAGGGTGTCCAACCTTTTGACATTGTGATGATACTGTTACTACAAATGTGTGGGCCATGGCGGAGAATATCCTGGGATTCACTGGGCAGACTGGACATGCCTAGAAGGCAGGAGTCAGTGAAAGCGTTTCTGTATTCTGTTTGCCCTTATATTTTGCTTTATACCCTGAAGAGTAATTTATCATCACTCAAGATTCTCAGCATTCGCGATCACGGCCATTAAAGAGTTCTGAAGTGCCATCCATGCCTGATTTCTAACCCCAGACTCACTTGATTTCCCTCATGCAGGGTTTATCTGGATCAACTGACCTATCTCTATCCAGTCCCTCTCCATTCTTATTTATAATGATAAAGACCCTGAACATACAGCTGCAGGTGTTAACATGTGGCAGCAGGTGAGGAGTAGTGGGCTCTGTTCTGGGCTCTCTGCTCTGTGTGACACTGAGTGACTCCCCTTGCTGACAGAATGGCCAACTCTTCCTCCTTCTCTACCTCTATTTTGTTGTTTTTGTTTGTTTGTTTGCTGGCTTGTTTTGTACAGAGAATAAATTCCTTATTAGCTGATTACATTGAATGCCAAACAAAAACAAGAAGGCATATACGGAGGCAGAACTGCAACCAGTTCCTGCCCTGACGCTACCTCCCTTCACGTTGTGTTGCTGGGCTCCCGAGGGCCTCTACTTTACACTATAGATTAGTGAGAAGATCAAGTCAAACAACAAGAATTACCCAGTATCAAGAGTGTGCCACTTTAGCTTCTCGGGAACTGTAATAGGAGATGAAATTTATGGAAGGGCTAGCTTGGGTCCTTTGCGTTGATTGCCCATCATAATTTTAGATGTTAATTTACCAGATTAGAAAAAGGCAGAAGAGATGAGGAGAGTAGGGTCTTACAGCAAAATATGTAGAGGAGCTGGTGGCTGGAATGCCCCTAAGTCTAGTGCTCCTCGGTCTGTGACTATGCCCTTGCATACAGCAACTTACACACCATATCCTCAGAGTCACATATCACCCACTTGGCATTTTCTTTTGTTTTCCTGCAGCTCTGGAGATCAAACCCCAGGGCTTAATGCATGCTAGACTAGCACACTGCCACTGGCTATATCCGTGGCTCTAGTGTTTTCCCTTAAATTAGTATCTTTTACTTAAGTCTATTCTTAAAATTTAGATACATTCCCTAGAACAATTAAAAATATCATTAAGAGTCCATGAGTTGGTAAAGGTACTTACTGTCACACCTAAGTTTGAGCTCCAGAGCCCATACAGGAGAAGGAGAGAACTGATTCCTGCAAGTTGTCCTCTGACCTCTACATGTATGTTGTGGCATGTCCCTGCCCTATGACACGCTTAAATACACTTGCCCACACAGTTTGTTAAAATAAATGATGGGAACCACGTTACTGATTAGCTAAAAAACTTCCAGGAGTTCCTAGGAGCAGATATGATGTCTTCAGAGCTGCTCTCTGGCCTTGACAGAACTTGAACAGCAGAGATAAGTTTCTTAGTGAGTGTTGGCACTAACCAAAGCCCTGCCTGCATCCCTAAAGCCTGACTTAATGTTTCCCATTCCTAAGCCACCAACCTGTCCTTTGTATGGGGCTATAGTCTGGGAAATTCCAGGCAACACCTTCATGTGGTTTTCTGATTTTTGGTAATTAAAATAGTTCCTTGTTCTCAGAGTTTTGGTTTTTCTATCTCTAAGCCTACTCCCAGGCACAACGAATGTGCACCAGTAGGGTAGGGGAACTGCCTTCCAAATGAAAGTGAGATGAGTCCTTTACAGGTGAAGGGTAGTGCAGAGCTGTAAACAATTGTCCTCTGCCTAAACAGTCAGTGTGTCAACCCTTCAATACAGTTCTTCATGTTGTGGTGACCCCCCAACCATAAAATTATTCCATTCTGACTTCATAACTGTCATTTTGCTCCTGTTAGGAATCAAGGGTTGTTTGACCACTAAAGGGTTCACAACCCACAGATTGAGGACCACTGGTCTAAAACATGGCAGTTTAGAAAGCATAGCTTTCTCAGTTAGGGCAAATGTGTGGGTTCTCTGAGGGAAGCCTTAACCTTGGTAAAGCGGTCCTGCTGTGCAAAAGTTCCTTCTGCTCAGAAGATGGATTCTGGTAGAAGTTTCCTCCAAAGCGTGATATCTCTAGCAGACACAGGCACAGCAAGGGTTTTTTTCTCTTTATGTTTGCCTACCATTTCCAGTGCCGGAACTCATGATGTACATGACCTTAGGCATAAAATGTCCTAAGTCCTAGACTGATGGAACATTGGGTAATTAACTTCCCAGCTTAGGAGTCTGAGTCACAGTGGCTCTCTGCACATTCTAAGGACGTCCTGGGGTATAGAAGAGTCATCTTAAAGCTGGATTCTTGCATCTGTCAGCTCAGGTGAGACTCACACACAACCCCAGCCTGCAGATTTATACATGTCTATTCTTTGTGCAGTGTGGATTGTGCCAGAAATTGTTTTTTACCCCAGTGTTGGACTGGAACCCAGGACTCTGTGTGTGCTAGGCAACTGCTCTATCACTGAGCCACATACCTTTCCCCTGCCCTTGTACCTTGAACTTAATAGGCAATTCCTCCAGGGAGCTTTGTAACTACTTAACTTTCAGGGGGAAATGCCAGTCTCTTGTAGCATTGTACAGAATGATTTTCCTTCCCTAAAATTTGTTACACAGGATTAATATTGTCTTATAACTTTGTTTTTCTTTAGTCTGTTTGTACTTTGTGTATGCCTTGTGCTATTCTAGGCACTAAGAAAGAACATAGTGATTATTCTTGCCCTGAATGGAGTGTGCTTCTAGAAGCGAGACAGGTCAGTGATTGAAGCATGCTGGGAAAACTGCTTCTAGTGACTAAGCAGCTAAGAGGACAGTTGGATGAGCAGAACAGGTTTAAGCCCTCTCTGCCTCAGTGCTCAGTGCTCTCATCTGTGAAATGGATATAATTCCTCTCTTGTTTGGTTATACTTCTTTAATCTTATGTGTACGAGTATTTTGCACGCATATATGTATGTGTACCAAGTCCATGTCTGGTACCTGAGAAAGACAGAAGAGGGCATCAGATCCTCTGGAACTTGGTTACTGAGAACCCAACCCAGGTCCAAGTAACTACTGAGCCGTCTCTCTCCAGCCCCTCATTTGGTTATTGTAAGATGCTTGTCTGTAATTTTAGCATTCAAGAAACTGAGGCAGGAGGATTGTGAGTTTCAGGCCAACCTGGGCCATAGTGAGATTCAAGCCAATCTAGGTTAAATAGTGAGACCCATCTCAACCAATCAATGAAAACAAAATGTTGTAGATCTATAGAAAACTTGAAGGAATAATACATCATAGTCAACATTTCACATGCATTACCTTTTTTTTCCTGAACTTTTAAGAGTGAGTGGTGGATACCAGTCTACCCACGCCCCCCTCGAAGTTCGAACACACTCCTCTTAGGCATGACATCCTGCATTGTCCACAGCTACAATTTTGTTGAATGCTCAAGAATGGTAGCACCATGCATCCTGCTACTGTCTGATACCCACTGGGTAACTCAAAATTTCTCCAGTCACCCCAGCAATGTACCCTACAGTTTTGATTTTCACTCTTTGAGGTGCCTGGTCCTCCCTCGTCTGCCTCATCACATCTAGTTGCTGTATTCGTTTTGTTTTTCTGGCACATGTCTCCTGACCCCTCATTCAGGATCCTTTTTCTTTCTGAGCCTTCCTCTTTTCCCGTGGGATGGTCTCAATACTGTTCTCTCTCTTCAGCCTCTGCAGGTGTCAGCCACCCTTAACGAGCAGGATGGATCTCGATGTAGTTAACATGTTTGTGATTGCCGGTGGAACCCTGGCCATTCCAATCCTGGCATTCGTTGCTTCTTTTCTCCTGTGGCCTTCAGCACTGATAAGGATCTATTATTGGTAAGTCAGCTCTATATTTGAGGTTTTTAAAGTATCACAGTATTGTCCTCTCCACTTTGTCCTGGTCATTGTTTCTTGTCATTGTGTTATGAAATATTTTAAACGAGAAAAGTTGACAGACATACATCTTGTTTAGAAATCTTTAAAGTTTTTAAAAATATATATATATATTTATTTTTACGTGCATGGGTGTTTTGCCTGTGTGCATGTCTTTGTACCATGTGCATACCTGGTACCCACAGAGGCCAGGAAAGGGTGTTGGATGTCCTGAGATTGGAGTTACAGACAATTGTAAGCTGCCATGTTTGTGGTCTTCTGAAAGAGCAGTGACAGCTCTTTCTTAACTACTGAGCCATCTCTCCACCCCTTCTTCAGTTTTGAATGTGTTCTTGAACTGGCAGGTACTGCAAAGCAGGTTTCAAGTTTCTGATAGCATGTTTGCCCTCAGGGCCACTCATTCCCCCAAGGCTATACAGTGGCAAGTACACACATGGCACAGAATGTTTTTAGGATTTTACCCTAGATTGGGGTTTTACCATTTTATTTGGGTTTTGAGATAGGATCTCAGTAAGTAACCGTGGCTAGCCTAGAATTCTGTGTAGACCAGGATGGCCTTGAACTCACAGAGATCTGCCTGCCTCTGCTTTGGGAAGGCATGTGCCACCACAGCCATTTGGTTTTGGTGTTCTTAGCCACTGAGCCATCTTTCCAGCCCTGGTTTTGGTGTTCTGAGATGAGGTACTGTAGCAAAGGCTTGCTCAAACTTCCTATGGAGATGATTCCTGGGCCTCCCTCCTTCACTTCCCAAATCCTGGATTACAGGAGTGTGCCAGCATGCCCAGCCTTGCTCTAAAACTGTTAATTACTGAGGGGAGAGAGACAAATGAAGCTTCCAAATATCTGTCATTCTTACTGAAAAGTTTCTGCACAAGGATAAGCCTCTCCGCCGATGCAGCAATCCAAATCAGACCAAATCAAACCAAATTAGAAAAAGCCCACGTTTAATGGATATACCACTCCCAGATAGCCTTCCAGTTTCCCAGAGAGGAGACAGGAAAGGGAGACTGGAAAAAGCATGAGTCTGTTTTTTGGGAGACAGTATAAATACCCTGTGGGAGTGGTCTTGAACATCCCTGGGGAAGGGGTCATCATTTCTTTCTGAGATGCAGCAGGGTTTGGAGGGATATGGGGGAGGGAGGCTTGGGTGGAACTTCCACCATAACATCCAGACTCTGGATATATAGACACCAGGGGCTAGGGTAAAGCTTCTACCATAACACTTAGCACCCTCATTCCTGCCCTGTCTCAGTATCATCTGTATTTTCTTCAGATGATTAAGACCTTAAATCTATGTTTTGGCTGCTGTTTTAAATTTTTTTATTTATTATTATTGGGGAGGCTTTTATGCCACAGCTCACGCGTGGAGGTCAGAGGACAGTTTGTGGAATTGTGGGTTCTATTGTTACTGTCTTGAGATAGGGTCTCATTGTAGCCCCACCTGGTCTAGAGGCTCTGCATAGCTGAGCCTGATCTTGAACTCAGCATCCTTTTGTTTCTGCTGCCCAAGTACTGGGATTACAGGGACAAGCCACCATGCCTGGCCATTAAATCTGTTTATTTACCAAGTGATATAAACATCTTCACTATAACATGGAAACTTTGACATGAAAAGTGACTGATGTAAAAAGAGTCAAAATAAACACAATTAACTTAAAGAGTCATACTGAATTCTAGCCTAGCTGTTGTTGCCTACTAAAGGATTGAACCCAGGGCCTGTGCATGCCGGGCAGGGCCTCTAGCACTGCCTTGTATCTCAAGAGGTTAGCACTTGAAAAGAAAGGGCTATGCTTCACTGATTTTTTTTTTTTCCGTGCCACTGCCCACTCATGAAATAAAGTGGCTCCTCCCACCTCAAACCCTCTATGATGAAATGAATACTGGGCCCTCTCCATACTGTAGATAAACCCCCCAGGAGATTTATCTGGGCCTTGGGCAATTAGAAGGAACTTCTGCATGTGAAGAAGAGCACCAGGAGGCGGATGCCCTCTGTCTGTCCTCCTTTTTCCCTCCCTTTTGTTTCACTGACTTGTGGAAAATTCCACCAGCTGCCCAGGCTCCAAGCCTTGAAAAGCAGCAAACAGGACAAAGCAGTATATGATCTTTCATTTCTCTGTGCCTTTTCTGTGTGGGTGGGGTTGTCTCCCCTTCACAGGGCCACCCAGGCAGGACCCACCTCTGCACTGACAAGTCAGACCTCTAGCTGCCTAAATACCACTGTGGTGCTACATTGCCAAGACTCCTGAGTAGTCCTGGACATGGAGAGGTCAAAGCCATGTCTCCACTTCACAACCCTGCCCAGGACCTTGCTCTTCCACACACAGATGCCACCATCATTGTTAAAGAAATGAAGTTGAAACAGAGAATGCAGTTTGCAGATGTAGACTGTAACCATGGATATGGCTGCATGCTGATGTGTGGTTCCACCCACTGGGGGCGAGAACCAGCCTCAATGCTATGTTAGTCTCCCGACCCCCATGTTCCCTGGATTCTCAAAAAACACATTTTCAGAATCATGGTATCAGAGTAGTTTTAACTTTTTTTGTTTGTTTTTCAAAGAGGAAAAAGATCTTCTTAGCAAATATTTTACTGTGTTACTGAGTTAACATAAAGTTCACTATATGAAAGTTGTATGGTTGAGTGGTTTTATTGTATTTATAGTATTGTACTGTCATGACCATTCCATCATTCTAGATCTTTTCCATCTCCCCAAAGTTCACACTGTGTAAACATAGCCTTCCCAGCACTAGGATTATGGGCTTTTCCCATCGTGGCACCAATGTTGATGATGATTCCATGTTCCATGTACACTGTCCTGGGCGTCAATACTTGTTCATTATTATGGTGGAATGGTATTTCATGGTACCCACTGAATCTGTTGAGGATTCAGTCCCAACAGAGTGGTGTAAACGAATCTGTGAGAAAACATTAGGTTGTTCTGAGAGTTCAGTGCAGTTCTGCTGAGATTAGACTCATTACTACCTGGGAGTTCGTTGCTGTAAATCAAGGCAGCATCTTGTATTTTATGTTTTTGGTGCATAGCCACTTGCCATTTGGCTTTCTGCCATGAGTTGACCAAAAGCCAAGTCGAAGTCACATCATGGTCTCGGACTTCCCAGCCTCCAGAACAGTGGTTCTCAAACTTTCTAATGCTGCAACCCTTTAATATGTGGTGACCCCCAACTATGAAATTATTTTTATTACCACTTCCTAATTGTAATTTTACTACTGTTAGGAATCATAATGTAAATATCTGAATCTATAGATAATTAGAATTGATAGGTGAATTTGGGGTCTACCAGTTGGTATAGTTCTGGCCACACAAGAATAAACACCTGAGCTTGGATCTCCAGGATCCACAAAACAAAAACAAACCAACCAACCAAATAAACAAAAAAACTGAGTGAAGAATCAGACTTCTGTAATTCTAGTTCTGGGCAAGCGAGATGGGAGGATCCCTGGGACTACTTGGCCATCATTCTAGCAACATCAGTGAGCATCGTATTCAGTGAGAGACCCTGCCTTTTGAAAAAATGAGGAAAACAATTGAGGAAGACACCTGGTGTTAATTCTGACCTTCACAAGCATATACACAATGTATACACACCCACATACTTGTACACATACACACACATACACCCAAAGTGAATTTGGCTAAGTTTCTGAATACAAGATCAGTAACTGGCACTGGAGAGATGTCTCAGCAGGTAAGAGCACTTGTTGATCTTGCAAAAGACCTGGGTTCAATTCCCAGTACCCACATAATGGCTCACAGACACTCATATCCCCAGTTCCAGGGGATCCAACGGGCATTAATGTGGTGCACATATATGCTTGCCAGCAAAATATTCATATACACAAATAAATAAATATACTAAAAAATCAATAGCCAAAAATCAGTAGCATTCCCATATACCAGAAACAAACAAATGAAAATGAAAAAAGTTAAATGTGACTACTTACTCTAGTGCCAATAACTCTCAACTACATAATATTAAATCTAAAGCTAAGGTGATGGTGAAATAGGTAAAGGTACTTGCCACACAAGCCTGATGAGCTGAATTGGATCCCTGGAAACAAGGGTGAAAGGAGATAACTGCCTCCCAGAAATTGTCTTCTAACTTCCACAGGTGTGTCTGCACTCACACGATCAACACACACACACACACACTGGAAGGAGAGAACTGACTCCCAAAGTTGTTCTCTGACCTCCATATTTTCATTCACACACACACACACACACACACACACACACACACACACACACCAACAATAAATTTAAAATTTTAAATAATAAAGGTGATATTCTCTTCAAACCCTTTTTTGAAAGAACATGAAAGGGCCCTACATAAAAAACTAAAACATATTCATGAGAAACAGTTGATAATACCTAAATTCGTGGAAGGATAGACTATATTTGTGGGTTGAAAGATTTTCTTCTTGTTAGAGATGTCATATTTTTGTAAATAGCCTCTAAATTAAGTGGCTAACCATCTTAAATCCCAATAGGTTTTTCTGATGGCATTTGATAAGCAGTGCGCTGGTTAGTTTTTGGTCAAAACCTGACACAAGCCAGGATCATACGGGAAGAGGGAACCTCAACTGAGAAAATTAATGATTGATGTGGCAAGGTCCAGTCCACTGTGGGTGGTGCCACCCTGGGCAGGTGGTTCTGGGTTGTATGAAAAAGCAGGCTAAACAAGCCAGTAAGCAATGTTCCCTCCATGGCTGCTGCTCCACTTCTGCTTCTGGGTTCCTGCCTTGGCTTCCTGCCTTGGCTTCCAACATCTCTTGATGGACTGTGACCCAGGCCATCTAAGCCAAATAAACCCTTTCTTCCACAAGTTCCTTTTGGTCATGGATCTCTATCACAGTAATAGAAAGTGAATTAGAGCAAGTAGATTCTTTTACTAGTTTAGAAATATTTAATTTGTATATGATCCTTCAAGTTGGCCGGAAATAGTATTAGCCTCATTTTACAGACTAATGAAGCTGTAGATTAGAACTGACCTCTTTTCCTTGAGGGCAGAGTGAGCTAAAATTAATTTCTTTATAAAAAGTTTCTATTAGGATGTATCAGCAGTAAGAGCTAGGGTGAGTTTCATTATGACATTTTCATACATATCTATAATACATTTGACTGCATTCACCCCTTGTCACTTTGTCATTCTCTCTGGTCTCCTCTCACTGATGCTGTCCCTTCACTTTTTGTGTCTGAGTATTTTTCTGCATGTATGTGTATTATATATGTCTGCTTGGTGCCTATGGAGGACAGAAATTATAGATGGAACAGAAATTATACATGGTTGTGATCTGCTGTGTGGGTGCTGGAAACAGAACCTGAGGCCTTTGCAAGAACAGCAAGTGCTCTCAGCTGCTGAGACTTTCCTCCAGTCCAACCAAGTGGATTTTTTGTTGTTGTTCTTGTTGTTTTTTGAGACAGGGTTTCTCTGTGGCTTTGGAGGCTGTCCTGGAACTAGCTCTTGTAGACCAGGCTGGTCCTGAACTCACAGAGATCCTTCTGCCTCTGCCTCCCTAGTGCTGGGATTAAAGGCATGTGCCACCACTGCCCAGCAACTAAGTGGATTCTTAATAAAGAAAAGGAAAGGGCCAACTAACCAAGACAGTCTTGAAGAGTGAGCGAATCAAGATGATTTATATTGCCAGATATTGATAATAATTATGAAGTTAGGAAAGTCAAGTCAGTGTGAAACTGGCACAGAGGGCAGATAGAGCAATAGACTAGAGATGTCCCGAAATAGATGCACAAACATACAGAAAGTGCACTGTGTTAACAAGAAATCCAGCTGGGCAAAACATAAGTTTGACTCTTTTTGGTAGAAAGAATTATTAAATTCTGATCCTCGGGGCTGGAGAGATACTTCAGTGTTTCGAGCATTGGCAGCTCTTCAGAGGTCCTGAGTTCAGTTCCCAGAAACCACATAATGGCTCACAGCGTCTATAATGTGATCTGATGCCCTCTTCTGGCATGCAGGAGTTACATGCAGATAGAGCACTGCATACGTAAAATAAATAATCTTTTAAAAAAACAAATACTCCTCAAAGATGCTCCTCCCTCTTCTCAGAGAACTGTGATTATGACAGTGTATTCATGTCATGGTCATGCTAAATTACAGTCCTGGTGTATGTTGTGTGCTGCTGACTTGAGAGCAGGAGCATCATCCAAAGGGGTCTATTCAATCACATCAGCACTTAAAAACAGAGATGCAAATCTCCATCATGACTCAGTGCTGTTGTTCATTTGAATTGGAGAGGGCCATCCAGGAACACAGGTGGGTTGGAGGAGGCAGAGTTCTCAACTGACAGCCAGCAAGGACACAAGGAACTTCAGTTCTACACCCACAAAGAACTGAGTTTTGCCAACAGGCTGAATGGTCTTAGAGCTGCCAAGAGATGCAGCTTGGCTGAGGCCTTTCTGTCAACACTGTGAAACCCTGAGTGACGTGAGGTGCCTAGCTAAGCTCACTTCTCATCCGCACAGGTGATCTAACAAAGGGTGGTTTTAGTGTGAAACACACTTGTTTTTTTTTTTTTTTTTTTTTTTTTTTTTTTTTTGGTCAGCAATAGAAAAATGAATGCAACCCATCTGTAAGTTCATACTCTGCCAAAAAATCAAAACCTAGTAGATTGTAGGTCTATGTAAATGTTCAACAAATCTTGCTTAAGAAAACATAGACATTTTTCTTGACATTTGAGGTAGGCAGAATTAATTATGAGATAAAAAAACTTCTAGCTAAACCAGATGGTGGTGGTACATACCTTTAATCCCAGCACTCGGGAGGCAGAGGCAGAGGCAGAGGCAGGTAGATCTCTGTGAGTTCCAGGCCAGCCTGATTTACAGAGTGAGTTCCGGGACAGCCTCCAAAGCTATACAGAGAAACCCTGTCTCAAAAATCAAAACAAAACAAATTGTTCAGTTTCGTTGTATCGTCTTAAATGAAGAACTAGTGGTGACCAAAAAGACCAAGTTGGTGTGTAGTTCAACACGTGTGCCCAGCATGCACCAGGCACCGCACCCAATCCTTAGCGCAGCTTCTCCACAAAGGAAAACTATTTAGGTTGTAAAAATGCATGCCAAGGGTGGCAGTGTGTATCTGCAGTTAGTCTGTTCATAAAGAACTTGCACTCAGCATATATAAAGAATTCCTCTTGTACATCTAAAAAGGAGCATATAACCCATTTCTGGACAGAAAACTCAGGTATTTTTACAGAGATGTTATTTGGCAGCCAGTTAGCATGAAATGAAACAGTATTCTGTTCCATTGGCCACAAGGGACACTCCAAACCACAATGAATGTAAATACTTGGGAGGCTGAGCAAGCTTAAATGTTCAAATCTGAACGAAAAACAACGCACAATGAGATACTATTACCTGCCTATCAGAAAAGCTAAAGTTAAAAACAAAAGCAAGGGCCTGGAGAGATGGCACAGTGGTTAAGAGTGCTTACTGTTTCGGGTTCAATGTCCAGCACCCACATACACCATCTGTAACTCCACTTCCAGAGGATCTCCCTTTTCTAGCCTCTGAGAGCACCGGGCATGCATGGGTGCACAGACATAGATGCAGACAAAATGTCCATATACAGAAAAGTAAATATACTTCAAAAACAACCTGATTAGCAATTCTGAGTGTTTTTGCAAAAGCACAGTGGGGCTACTTATATGAATGACTATGAAGTTCATGTCTTAAACAGCTGTCTCATGGTTCTGGAGGCTAGGAACATGAAACTGGGGTTAGTTCTCTTTAGTGGTTGTAGAAGAATCATTTCTTGCCTCTTCTCAGTTTCTGATGAAACTCGGTTATGCTGGTCTTAACCTCTGTTTTCACACCCCTTCCCTACATGTTTCCCCGTGCAGGGGAAGGAACCTAGCTTCACATGGTTCATACCATTGGAAGTGTCTTACTGCTACAACACATACCCAGCTCTTTTGTTTGTGTTTCTGTGACCTAATTTTTTTTCTTAAGTTTTCTTTTTCATTAAGGTTTGTTCTTCTCTCCCTGGGACAAATTATTCTTGGAAGTATAATTAATAGACCAATTTAAAAAATTACTGATGGCTAATGCCAGATTGCTTCCTAGAAAGGGCATTAGAACTGGTCTAAAAGAAGAGAGGAAAAACTCTCCTTTTCTAATTTGAAAATCTATATGCACAGGAGCTATAAAAGAATGAGAGTTTCAGGGGTGGAGCTCAGTGGATAAGAGCTGCTCTTCCAGAGGACCCAAGTTTTGATTCCCATCACCTAAGTGAATGCTTGCAGCCAGTGGGTACCAGCCATGCACGTGGTATACAGACATACATACATGCAGGCAAAAACCCATACATATAATTTTTTAAAATTAGAATTTGTCTGGGTGTGGTGGCACACACCTTTAATCCCAGCACTTGGGAAGCAGAGGTGGGCAGATCTCTTCGAGTTCAAGGCCAGCCTGCTCTACATAGTGAGTTCTGAGACAGCCAGAGAGAACATAGAGTGAACCTGTATCAGATTGTGGTCTACCCTCACTGGCAGCATAGTATTTCCTGATGAAATTCTGATTTTTTTATTTTATATTTATTTATTTAGGAATGTGTTCTAGCTCTCCCTAGCCCTCTCTTCCCTTTCCTACTCCTCACCTCATTCTCTTACTCTCTGCTATCTATCCATCATCACCCACCCACACCCACACCCACACACACCCTGTTAGTCCCCTTCTGCTTTCCAAACACATGTGACATGCTTGTCTTCTTAGTGCTCCTTGAGGGGGAAGTAAAGGACAGGAGCCGGGAGAAGCATCTATATTGCCACCAAGTAGGATCTCTAGAGATGACCTGTTCCCTGCCTGAAGCCATGTACTCTGAACATACTGCTGTGTCTTGCCTTTCTTCACCCTAGGTACTGGCGGAGGACGCTGGGTATGCAAGTCCGCTATGCACACCACGAGGACTATCAGTTCTGTTACTCCTTCCGGGGCAGGCCAGGACACAAACCATCCATCCTCATGCTCCATGGTTTCTCAGCACACAAGGACATGTGGCTCAGCGTGGTCAAGGTAGAGTTCCCGACTCTTCTGTCTCAAGAGGAGAGGATTGGGAACACAGTTCAAATTCATCTTAAAATTAATGGAGTATATTACTCAGACCCATTTTTGTGTTACAGAATTGTTTGAGTTGAGTAGTATTTAAAAGCTGTGTCTCTGGAGTCTTCTTACCATGGGGATATTTTGGGGGGCATTGGGAGAGATGGGGGTGTTCCAACACAGCTCCATCACAGAAGTGCCATGATGCTCAGGGCTGGTCCTTTCCTAAAAGTATTTGTTCTTATACATTCCTTTCTTTTCCCTGCCTGCCCCCAAACTCTCTTCCTTCTGCTGTTCGTTCTTTTTTCTTTTCCTTAATCATTTAGAGAAATGGTCTTGATCTGACAGCTTTTCAGAATCCTTTTCCAGGTCACTTTTTATGCTGATGGCTTGTGTGGCCTCTCACTGTACTTTGGGGGCCTGCTAGCTGGTGTGGGAGTAGGGGGTGGGACTGAGGCTGACATTTGTCTTGAGAGAGCAGCACCCCAGGTTTCTACTTCAAGTGGGACAATATCTGAGAGATCATAAGTGTCACTAGGTGGAAAAATGTGTGTCATTGGGTTACTTGTGTTCTTCTTCCCAAATGCCACCACGTGGACAGCCATCTGCAATCCTGAATTCTTTTTGTCCCCTCTTCATTAAATATCTTTGATAACTGATGTTTCTCAGACTCATGGCTAAAGGTGGTGCATCTTTTAAACAGAGAGGAAAGGTGATTTGGGAGAATAATCATCTCAAGAATTAGACCCTGATAAAGAAAAAAAGAAAGTTGAAACCAGCCCTATGGCTTTGGGGAAAAGCATTGCTCCTTTCAGCTCTGGTCCTGGCTAGGGTTCTGGGAACCATCTCTTCTAGTTCCGAGACATGACTAGACGAAGAATTGCATGGGAAGGAAAGGAAGTAGTACTGAGCAAACAGTATTGAGTTTAAGATGTTGGGCTGTTGGTGACTTGGACAAAAAAAGCACTTGCCATGCAAACCTGATAAGCTGAGTTTGATCCCTGGAACCCAGAGAAAGATGGAAGGAGAGAATCGTTACCTAAAACACAATGGGAAATATTTTTAAAAATTTAGTACAAGATGTAAGCCTGCTGGCCTGAGTTTTGTATCCTTTCTCCAGTCACCCACTGAGCCTCTTTTCATCTGTGCACAGGTCTTGGGGTCCTCTCCTCCCTATGAGGGTCTGTTGATACTTATTCGCATTTTTCATGTAAGACAAGTAGAGGCTCAGAAACATCATCTCAGTGGCTGTCTGGGTCACTGGGTAGGTGGCAGTTATCTCCCCAGAGAAACAGGCATGTTTTTATAGCTAGATACTGACTGTCTGGGTCTGTGTCTTCAGTTCCTTCCAAAGAACCTGCATTTGGTCTGCGTGGACATGCCTGGTCATGAAGGTACCACCCGCTCCTCCCTGGATGACCTGTCCATAGATGGGCAAGTTAAGAGGGTACACCAGGTAAGCAGAAGGCTTTACTGCCCAGATTGTATCTTCTTAGCACATGGAAAGCAGGCAGGAGTTGCACACTGGCTTGTGGTCAGTCCCTTGTACATTCTGTCTCCAAGTGGTTGCAAACAAAATGGTAGCCTAGGGATATCTTTGGTCAGTTGAGGAGGGCTTGAGCTCATTACAGATACTTTAAGTCTATTATACTTTCTGTTTTATCTTTTCAAATAGGTTGCCTTGAACTTCTCAACCTCCTGCCTCCACCTCCCAAGTGCAATGATTACAGCAATGTGCTACCCTGAATGTTTTTTGTGGTGCTGGGAATCAAGCACAAATCAGGGAATTTGTGCATGCTAACCAAGAACTCTACCCACCAAGTCACATCCCCTGCACATTTGTATATGAAGAAATGCAATCTGAGCAGTTTCTCAGCCTTTTGAAAAGGCATTTAGAAGTCTACAAAACTGTTCCCCTGTGAGGGTCTTTTTTTCTCCCTTTGTGTGGCCAGGGGTGGAGTCTTTGCATGTTGTTGTATTTCACTATCCATCTCCAGTTCTCTTCTAAGGATGTCATTACTCATGAGCCCTTTCCTAAAGGAATAGTTTGTAAGTGTCAAACTTTTTTCCAATAAGGATATTTAGTTGATTATTTTTGCCTCCCCCATTGTGTGTGTGTGTGTGTGTGTGTGTGTGTGTGTGTGTGTGTGTGTGTGTGTGTGTTTGTTTGTTTTGTTTTTGTTTTTTGAGACAGGGTTTCTCTGTGGCTTTGGAGGCTCTCCTGGAACTAGCTCTTGTAGACCAGGCTGGTCTTGAACTCACAGAGATCTGCCTGCCTCTGCCTCTGCCTCCCGAGTGCTGCTGGAGTTAAAGGCATGCACCACCACCACCAGGCCTAAACTGTATATTTTAATGAGGGCTTGTTGTCTGGCTCTGCTTTATCTTCAGCAGCTAACCATAGTTATTTGTACATAACAAATATCCAATAAATATTTTTCCAATGGGGGATAAAGGTGTAGATGGTTGATTGGGCAGATGTCTATCCAGAAACGAAGCAGAACTCATCAGACTATGGCCTCAGAGCTGTCACCTACTTTTGTAAACTAAGTTTTATTGGAACATAGCCATGCTTGCTTACTTAGGTATGGATTGCCTCTGGCAGCTTTTGTGACACAGTGGCTGAGTTGAGTAGTTACAGCAGAGACCAGCTGACCCATGGGGGTGGGGGCATAGATCCCTTGGCCCTTTCTGGAACAGTTTATGACTTACTAAGGGATTCATTGTTTGATTTATATTTATAAGTGACCCTACAGCCACATGTGCCTGATAAAGTATATATGAGTCACAGGGCTTAACTAGATAATGGGTGTAATAGTGTAACGTGTTCCGTTCTTTTGGGTTAAGGGATCTCTGCTCTGCAATCATTGCTGACATCTTAGCTGTAATCATGCCTCCTTTTCATTTCTCTTTCTAGTTTGTAGAATGCCTTAAGCTGAACAAAAAGCCCTTTCACCTTATAGGCACCTCCATGGGTGGCCACGTGGCTGGAGTATACGCCGCTTACTACCCATCTGATATCTGCAGCCTGTGTCTGGTGTGCCCTGCTGGTGAGTTACTTGACCAGAACAGCCTTACAAGTGACTTGAATTTAAAGAGGCACGCACACAGCTTCTACTGTGACTCCTTAAAGTCTGATAGAGACGGTGGAGATAGGCAATCCTTTGTGATAACTCTGACCAGATAACAGTTGTGTAATGAGAACCCTAGCCAGACTGACTTAACTGGAGCCAGCCCTGCTCCACGGAAAAGGAGCAGGGAGGTAGACATGTGTATGGTGCTGTGTGGCACGTGGTACTCACAACTGTGATACTTATGTTAGCCTCCAACATTTTGATCCCCAAGAGCTAACATCTTACTGAAGCTAAACTAAATTGACCTTTAAAAACCCTTCAACTACTGTGAAGGTTGATTATTTCCAAGCATTGAATTAAAAAACAAGCTCCCAGAGGGTTTTCTCTTCTCCTTTTCTCAGCACCATCTCTGAAATCCATTGTTCATTTAATAGTAAAGTTTGGGAATCAAAGGAGCAGCCTCCCCTGGGGAAGGTTATTCATCTTCCTGGTGGAACGTTAAGTCAATACAGCATTTTTAAGTTGTGTTCGCTGCCTAAAGAAGAATTCTATACCAGAGTTTCAACTGGAAATTTAAGATTGTTTGCATGTGAAAAGGTGGAAACAAGTTAGGATCAGATCCTACCTACATTTTTCTTTGTACGCTTTGTCTTTAACTTTGAAATAATTTTCAGTTTACAGGAACATTGCCAAGGTAGGACAGAGTCCCATATCTCCTTTACCCAGTTTTGTCTGTTGTGAAGATCTCATGCCACCACAGTGGTTCTCACACAACTGAGGAGCTGAGCTTGGTGCCTTTCTATTAACTAAATCCAAGCTTTATTTCCATTTGGTCTCATTTTGCTACCCATGTCCATTTTGTGTACCAGAATCCACGATATTAAACCTAAGATTAATTTTTTCTTAAAAAATATATATGACTTTTGGGGGCAGTGACATTATAACGTAAGAGAGAAAAGGTGTAAAAGCTAACTGAAGAAAAGGAAATTCCATTATTTGATCATCTGTCAGGATGTCACTTCTTTTTTTTGTTTTTGTTTTTGATTTGTTTGTTTGCTTTTCGAGACAGGGTTTCTCTGTGTATCTTTGGAGCCTATCCTGGCACTCGTTCTGGAGACCAGGCTGGCCTCGAACTCACAGAGATCCACCTGCCTCTGCCTCCTGAGTGCTGGGATTAAAGGTGTGCACCACCAACGCCCGGCAGGATGTCACTTCTTATATGAAAACTTTCATTCAAATGCAAAAACAATTTTTTTTTTTGATACTGAATGTCAAACCTAGGACCTCCTACAGACTAAGTAAGGGCTCTTCTACTAAGGTGCATGCCCAGATCTTAAGTCAGTTTGTTTATAAACAGAGATGTTACCTTAGTACAACTTCTAAAGGGTGTTACAGGAAGTTATGAGGCTATCTTTATAAACTTTTAGGACCACCTCATGAAATTGCCTGTGCTCTTAAAGGACATATTCCATGATTAAAATTAAAGAGAAATCACTGTGAAACAGTATTGGATCTGGACAATCTTGGGAAGGTTCTGTGAATCCCCTTCTCCTCCTCTCAAGTTAGGTTCTTGCTATGACTGGTCTTAATTTCCTGTGTATGTAGCCTAGTCTGGCTTCAAACTTGCAATCCTCTTGCCTCAGACTCCTGTGTGCCTAGGATTATAGGAGTGTAACATCTTGGCAGGCTTTTCTGGACATAGATTTATAATTTGTGGTTTTCTTTGGGAGTAGTAGACAAAGTTGATGCTGAGTGTCTTCCTTGGTGACTGTCCACTTTATTTTTTGATGTGGGTTTCTCTCTCTCTCTTTCTGTCTCTCTCTCTCTCTCTCTCTCTCTCTCTCTCTCTCTCTCTTTTGGAGGGTGGTTTGAAACAGGGTTTCTCTGTATAACAGCCCTGTCTATCCTGGAACTCACTTTGTGGATTAGGCTGGTAGGCTGGCCTTGAACTCACAAAGATCCACCTACTTCTGTCTCCCAAGTGCTGGGAGTAAAGGCGTGCACTACCACCACTTTTAATGTGGGTTTTCTTGCCTGGAACTTGACAGTTATGGCTGATCTAGCTAGCAAGCTGGCCACAGGGTCTCCTGTCTTTATCTCCAAGGGTTGAGATTGCAGGCACCTGTTAACAGCTTCTACAGGGGTTCTGGGGTTCTGAACTCCCATCCTCATACTTATGCGGCAAGAGCTTTATCCACAGAGTCATTTTCCTGGTCCTAATATGTTGGTATCTTTAGGATGCCCAGTATTAAAGATGAAACTGCCTGTTTGTTTGTTTTTAAGACAAAGTCTTATTGTAGTCAAGACTGCCTTAAAACCCTAGTTTTTCCACATCTATCTCCCAAATTCTGGGATTACAGGCTATACCTAGCTTCCCCCCACCACCAAATCTAGTTCTTTGGCCAAATTAAACCAAGAAATGGCTCTATGGTGGTGGAAATTACTCTTTCCCTACTACATAATGTTAGCTATCAGATCCTCTTGTGTTATGAAACAGTGGGCAGCCACAAAAGGAGTCTCAGCCCTCAGTGTTCTTGTGGAGAAAGAAAGCCTATGTGCTTCTCTTACACTCTTGTGTCTTATGCACTGACCACAAAGGGGAGGGCATCCAGGTCAAGAGAGGGAGCTGCTGGTCATGGCAGCCCTGTGCTTTCTTTCCGTCATACACTTCCTTCAATCGCCAACACGGGCATGAAACGGCGCAAGTGAGGTGCCTTCTAGTGCCTCCCATACTCTACCATTCTCATTCCCTTGCAGCTTGTTGAAATGTAGATTCTGGTTCAAGAGGCTTGGGGACAGCCTGAGTTTCTGTGTATCATGCTAGTCTGTGGCCATGGTATATGCAATCAGACCTAAAACATAATGCTGTTGTTTTAATCTGGACTAATTTAGAATTTATTATGAAGCCCACTCTGGCCTTGAACTTGTGACTCTTCTATCTCTTCCTCTTGAGGCATATATGTACCACCGTGCTTAACTCCCAACTCTAAAATACCTTGGATGAGGTATTTTTTTCTGTATTTCTCAGAATACGATTTTACTTTGTACAAGGGTGCCAGTACCAATTAAAAAGTGAGCTTATAGCCTGGTGGTGGTGACGCACACCTTTAATCCCAGCACTCAGGAGGCAGAGGTAGATGGATCTCTGAGTTCAAGGCCAGCCTGGTCTGCACAGTGAGTTCCAAAGATGGCCCGAGCAATACAGAGAAACGCTGTCTCAGAAAACAACAACCAACAAAAAGCAAGCAAACAAACAAACAAGAGGATCTCCTAGTGAAAGAAACCTGACAAATTAGCCTGGGTTCCTGGGTTCAGTCATGAGGGGCACGATAGCACCTGATACTTGTATCATCAGGCTCTTTTGTTGTGCATTGCAGGCCTGCAGTATTCAACTGACAATCAGTTTGTGCAACGGCTCAAAGAGCTGCAGGATTCCGCTGCCATTCAGAAAATCCCCTTGATCCCATCGACCCCGGAAGAGATGAGTGAGATGCTCCAGCTCTGCTCCTATGTCCGATTCAAGGTGCCCCAGCAGGTACAGTGTATCAGTGCCATACCCTTGCCCTTCACGAAGCATCCCCCAGCATACCTTCTTGCATCAACTCTCTGACTCCATTCTGTCTACTCCATTTACTCAACATGTAGCTCTCCAGATGCCTGTGATACGTCAGACACTGTGCTGGACACTGTGGTCAATACATAACACAGGGAATGTCCCTGGGCAGATTTAGTCCAGTGCAGGAAGCAGACAGCAACAACTAATAGACAGAAATTTACAAATTGAAATAAATTTTAGAGGTGAAATAAATATTTAAAATGGGCAAAGGGGTAGCTTTGATGAGCTCTGGAGAAGGGTCGTTGTGTACAGTGGGAAAAAACATACAGAGAATCATCATGGCAATGGAAAAAGAAAGCTGATGGGGGATGTCCTTCTGTATAGGTGTTTCTCTTACTGGTTGATGAGTAAAACACTTTGGCCAATAGAGGCAGGAAGATAGGCGGAACTAAGAGATGAAGAGAATTCTGGGAAGGATAGGCAGAGAGATTGACCTCAAGGAGACGCCATGTAACCGAGGAAGGAGTAACAGGTCTGGACCCTTCTCTGGTAAGATAAGATCACGTGGAAATACTTAGAGTAATAGAAATGGGTTAATAATTAAGAGAGAGCTAGCCAGTAAGAGGTCCTAGCCATGGGCCAACAGTTTAATAATTAATATAAGTCTTCATGTGCTTATTTGGAGCTGAAGGATGGCAGGACCTGGTGGGACAAGAAACTCCACCTACAGAAAGCAAGTGGCTGGAGCCTAGAGAGTGAAGGAGAAAGGAGTTGGGAAGGGAGTCAGGAGCTAAATCACATTCTCAATTTAAAAATGTTAAAAGACTCTTAGACTTGTACATTTAAAAAAATATTTTGGATGAACACAAAGAGCTTTTTATCTATGAGGGTTATATTTGTTGATATGGATACTCAAAAAAATTAAAACACAAAGATGAACATTTGCATAAGAGATGATATTATCTTGTTATATAGGTACAAAATAATAGTATGCTTTTAGGAGGAGGTAGGTGAAAGGAGTGACGTTGAGTGTCATTGAGTATGAGCACAGTATGACCTCATGGTCTCTGAAGAGCTGCTCTGAAAAGATCATGTATGTCCTTGTAGTTTATGGGACTAAGTCTGCTTTTTCTTTTTCTTTCTTTTTTTTTTTTAAGATTTTACTTATTTATTATGTATACAACATTCTGCTTCCAGGTGTATCTGCACACCAGGAGAGGGCACCAGATCTCATCATGGATGGTTGTAAGCCACCATGTGGTTGCTGGGAATTGAACTCAGGACCTCTGGAAGAGCAGTCAGTGCTCTTAACCTCTGAGCCATCTCTCCAGCCCCTGAGTCTGCTTTTTCTAAGCATAGTGGCAGAGACACAGAGAGACTGTAGGGAACACAAATAGAAACAGGGGCTACTTTAGGATATACCGTGGCTTAGAGGTGATGGTGGTATGGATTGGGGCAGCCGCACTAGCTGAGACGTGTTGAGAAGAAGAATGGACAGGACTTACGGCAGATTGGAAGTGGTGGTGAGGAAAGTGAGTGGTCATAGGTGACTTCCAGTTCTTGAAGCTAAATGGGTAAAGGCGGCAGAAGTTCAGGTTTAGGACATATGCTGAGAGTTCCATTTTGGATATATATTAAGTTCAGATTGCTTTTGAGGTCTCCAGGGGATGTGTCAAGTAGACAGTTGGACATTTACGTGGCCTAAAGTAAAGCAGGAACCGTAGGCAGAGGACAATATTGGGGGTCATGCGTCTGAATGAGATCATTTGAGTTAAGTCCACAGCTGAGGCTTTATGAAGCTGGGTTATCTCCCTGTGCTGAAGGCAGTGAACCCTGCCTCAGGGTAAAGTGAGGTGTGAGAATGGATGCTACACAGACTCTGTGACTATGACTTACTTAATAAGTGTGGCGCATTTCTGGGGAAGCATCCACAATCTATGTCTGTGGTGTAATTTGTCCTCGGTATCTTTTTAGTCATAAAGAGGCACAGTCCTCTGCCAGTTATGATGTCTTTAGGATATTGTGACCAAAGGAGACTCCATGCTTTTAGTTGTCAGGGATAAGAAAACCCTGGGAGAAAATCATGTTGGTGTCAGAAGCTTTTCTTTCCCAGGAGAGTAGGGCCACCTACCATTGAGTCCATTAGGTCATCTTGTGGTTGTGTTTGTTCACATGTATGTAGCATGAAAAATAAAAGACCCATAGACTGATACTGGGGTTTAAACTTGAAGGTGAAGATCAGAGAAGCAAAGCAGCTAGGCCAGTAGGTCTTACCTCTACCCAGCTGAAATGGCAATCCTGTCTCTCCACGAATCCTCAGAGGCAAAAGCTTTCAGTTCCTCTCTCCTGCTTTTTATTCCTTTCTCCACTGAGCCATATCACCTCCCTAGTGCTGGAATTAAAGGTGTGATCCCAGGTGCTGAGATCACCTTTGTGTGAGCTGTTGCTTTTAGGACCAGATCAATTTTGTGTAGTCAGTGTGGCCTTGAACTAACAGAGATCCGTCTACCTCTTACTCCTGAGTCCTGGGATTAAAGGCGTGTGTCACCACTGCCTGGCCTCGATAACTTGTGACTGGCTTTGCTTTGTGAATCCTCAGGCAAGCTTTAATAAATCATAAATTGGGTTGGAGAGATGGCTCAGAGGTTAAGAGTACTGACTGCTCTTCCAGAGGTCCTGAGTTCAATTCCCAGCAACCACATGGTGGCTCACAACCATCTATAATGAGATCCAGTGCCCTCTTCTAGTGTGCAGGCAGAACACATAATAAATCAAATCTTTAAAAATAAATAAATAAATCATAAATGATATGCCACCACATTTGTGCCTTCTGCTCTGTTCTCAGTAAGGTCAGGGCCTGTCCATCTCCAGACTTTAGCAGTGCACTTTCATGAAGAAGATTTTACTTACATAGACTGGATGGATGGTGGATATTATAGGATGCCTTACCATCAGAGATAGGGTAGATAGACATATGAATTAATACATGTGTATGCTTGTATGGTTTAAGGCTGCAGGATGGAACAGTGGGTAGATGGTTGGTTGGAAGGATGGAATGATGGGTGTATAATATAGGGGTGGAGAAAGGCTGAATTAGCAAATATAGACATAAATATGTACTTCAGGAAAACAAGATGAATGGAGAATTGATCAATTAGGCCAGTGGTTCTCAACCTGTGGGTTGCAACCCCTTTGGGGGTTGAACAACCCTTGCACAGGGACCACCTAAGACCACAGCAAATATCAGATATTTAAATTATATTTCACAGCAGTAACAAAATTATAGTTACAAAGTAGCAATGAAAATAACTTTATAGTTGGGGATCGCTACAGTATGAGGACCTGTATTAAAGGGTCACATAGTTAGGAAGATTGAGAACCACTGAATGAAACAGAGTTGGGAAAGGGTAGATGGATACATAGATACTGGGAGGATAGTAGAAAGAAGAAAATGTCTGTCATGGAGCACAGTGTTATTAAATATAAACAGTCATTTCCCTCACCTCTGTGCTTCCACTTTCAGAACCTCTGGGGTTCTATTCATGCTTTAGAGAGCTGGTTTAGTCAAAAGCAGCCATGGTTCAATATTTTAGTGAGCTTTCTATCACCGTGGGAAAATACCTAAGAGCATCATGGGTTCAGAGGCTTCAGGCCATGGTTACTTGACCCCTTTACTTTGAGCTTATGGTGAGGCAGAATATCATGGCAGGAAGCATGCAGTAGAGCAGAGCTGCTCACCTCATGGTGGACAGGAAGCAGACAAGGATGGAGCCAGGATCCCAATATATCATTCAAAAATATTATCACCAATGACCTCCAAGTAGGTCCCACCTCCTAAAGCCTACCCCCACCCCACACCCCCCAGTGGCACCACAGGCAGAAGGCTGAGCATTTAGTACATGCCTTTTGAGGAACATAACACTAGTCTTCCCAACTTTGGTCTGCATGGAACTCCTGAGAAGGTGTGTTGAAGGGGTCTAGATCTGTTCCCTGGTGGATGAGAGGAGTGATGACTACCTTTGTGAACCCTTTGCTTTGACTTAAGAGTCCCAGGGCAAGGAACTGCTTTACAAATGGCCATAGCCACCTATTTGGGTTAGTAGCCCAGGGCATGGAGATCTTGCCTGTCTATATTTGCTACAGCCCTCACAAGGAAAGCAAAGGCAATGTTGGATAATAATCTGAGCTCTGTGAAACTATGGGGGTCTCCCCAGAGTTTTCTTAATAGTTTATTTCTTCAGCTCCTCTTCCTCCTCCTCTTTTTCCTCTTCCTCTTTCAAGAGGGTCTTCTTATGTTTTACAGCCCCGCCCCCCCCCCCCCCCCCGTATAGCTGAAGATGAATTAAAACCCCTAATTCTTCTGCCTCTACCTCGAGAGTGTTAGTTTATGCGGTGCTGGCGATAGCAAGGCTTGGTACATGCTAGACCAGAGCTCTGTCAACCGAGCTGCGCCCCAACTCCTTCATTGTTTATAGGATCATCAATCCTGATGGTTCAATCCTGTTCTGCATTTGGATACCATTGAATAATGACCTGATATTTTGTTTCTCCACATTTTTATTTTGAATTAAACCAAGAGTTTCTCAAGATGCCATGCTAGTATCTTTAACATAGTGTGCAGGCCTCTGGCTTCACAGCATTTCCCTAATTTTCTGTCATTGTTATTATTTTTTATAATGTGAAAGGTGTTTTATCTGGATATCTGTGCACCACATGCATGAAGGGCCTACAGAGGCTAGAAGAGGGCATCAGAGCTCTTGAAACTGGAGTTACAGATGGTTGTGAGCTTCCTTGTGTGTGCTGAGAACCAAACTAGATCATCTGTCACAGCAGCGAGTGTTGTTACCAGACTCTCTCTCTGCAGCGTCCCTAGTTTTTTGTTTTTGTTTTTAAAGCTTCCCAATTGTATTCTACATTCTGGAGATTCTCATGCCCAGCCCTAGGCAGTGCAGGAAAATGCTGTGCCTTCTCGCCTGTGCTGCCCCAGAGCTGTAAAAGGCTGGAGGAAGTAAGAGTTCTCTTGTTTTCTAACTTCGGATTGTTTGTCCTCAGATCCTTCAAGGCCTCGTTGATGTTCGCATCCCTCATAACAGTTTCTACCGGAGATGTAAGTAGCCCTGCTGCAGCTTGCAGCTTAGTGTCTGACTGCCTTATAAGTCATAAACCTCTGTGCTTGGAATGTTTCCTGGTTCCCTGAAGGGGAGTAGTGGCCTGAACTTGATGAAGCTCTGACTGATGTGGTACCTATGTGCAGATCCTGCGTACACTCACTGTGTTTGTTTGTTTGTTTTTCTTTTTGATAAGTGTTTTTGGAAATTGTCAGTGAGAAATCCAGATACTCTCTCCATCAGAACATGGACAAGATCAAGGTCCCAACACAGATCATTTGGGGGAAACAAGACCAGGTATGCCACAGGGCCCTGTGGGAAAAAAACAAGTGGTGATCTTTACAGTGCCCTCCCTGGTGGGTTTCTTGTGTTGGGTGCCAATGCCCGATGCCACAGTTCTGTGAGCTGAGAACAATGATATCTGACTTTTAACATGAAAGGAAATTTATTTATTTGCTTGTTTGTTTATTGAGATAGGGTTTCACCATGTAGCCCAAGCTGGTCTTGTACATGAGATCTTCCTGGCTTCACATCAGGGAATCAACAGGGCTGGGAACTCTGAGGGAGACGCTTCTCCATTTTTCCCCAGCTTCTGTTGCTTGCAACCATTTTTGGCATACCCCATCTTATAGATATATTCCCTAGATTCTACCTTCATCTTCACAATGACATCCTGTGTATGTGTGTCTGTGTCTGCATTCCCCTTTTTAAAGAATGCCAGTCATCCTGGCTTAGGGCTTCACTCCTCCTTTATGACATCATCTTCACTAGTTATACCTGCAACACATGATTCCAAACCAGGCCAATGCCGAGTGAGTATTGGGATTAGGACTTCAGCATATGGGGACCCCATTCAGCTCATAACCACCTCTCCAAAGACACACCAAGTTCATTCCCAGAAGTACCTTTGTAACTGCTTCTGAGGAATCATGCCTACCAGAGACTTTTCATAAAGTTTAAAGCAAGAAGAGGCAGTGAAAAATGTATAATGCAGATGAATGACAATGTATTCTAAAGCCTTCCACTAAAGAATATTGTGAGAAAAGGATATTAAAAAAGGCTTTTTTTCTGATTGTTTTCTGTTGCTATAGGAAAATTCCTGAGACTGAGTAATTTAAAAAGACTAGGAATATATAGATTTATGGTTTGGTTGGCTGGAAAGTCCATGTGTAGAGTACCCAGCGTCTGCTCAGCATGTAGAGAGGGGCTTCCTGTTGTATAGCACAGTTGAGGACAACATGATAGTACATTACTCTCTATTCCTGAGGGCAGAGATCTCGATGATCTATTAATCTATTTAGGAGGACAGAAGGATAAAGTTTCCAATACATGAACTTATAAGGGAAACACCTTCAAGCTCGACAGACCCCAAGGTGAAAATCACCATTGTGAGCCCTGTCTGGGCTGCTGAGAGCAGAAACAGAAAGTCACACTGTACTTACAGAGAACTAGAGTTGCAAAGGTGGCCCAGGCAGGGAAAATGGGAGGGAGGGAGCTGGTGTGTGCTCACAGTGCATGTTGTGGGTAAGCCAGTAGAGCCTACGCCAAGGGTGGCCCAAGGTGCACTGGAAAGGGACAGAGACAAGGAGAGGACCAAGGACAGTCAAAGCTATACAGAGAAACCCTGTCTCAAAAATAAATAAATAAATAAAACCAAACCAGGAAGAAAGGAAGGAAAAACGGAAAAACAGAGACCTTTCTGTTTTATTAAAATCCCCAAAGTAACACTGGTCCCTTGGGGACCTACAAAGACAGGCCATAGCCCATTATCTTGTGGAGCTAGATGATCAAGAGAGCCAGAATGCTGCCCTCAGAAGTATGCTATAGCTGTCGACCTCTGTCCTTTTTCAGATGTGACCTAAGCAAGTACCCAAGTGCCACTTGTGGACAGAAGTTTCTGTCCCGCCAGGTCCTGAAGCCGTTTAGTTCCAAATAAACACACAGAGGCTTACATTAATTATCAACTGTTTGGCCCATGGCTCAGGCTTCTTATTGGCTAACTCTGTCTTAATTATTAACCCGTTTCCACATAGCCTTGGCTTACCGGTGATGCCTGGCCCTCTTGCTCCCTCTTCAGCTACATAGCGTCTCGCTGGTGACTCACTCTCTGTGTTCCTCTTCCCAGAATTCTCCTAGTCTGGTCACCCCACCTATACTTCCTGCCTGACTACATCCTGCCTGTCCATTGGCTGAAGCAGCTTTATTCATCAACCAATAAGAGAAATGTATATTTGCAGCATACAGAAGAACATTCACCATCAGTGGCCTTTTGCCCAAGCTCTCTGGCTCCCAAGCTCCCTGTTCTTTGCCTACCCTGTCATCAACATTTGGTGTCACAGCACCTGTACCTGTCAGATTGAATTCAACCTCCTGCTTCTTTGGACCCGAGTAGGCCGACTGTTGTAGTACCCAGAGACAGGAATCTGTGTGTATTATCTGGTGTGAGTGTGTGTGTGTGATACTCCTGGATTTGGGCAGTATAAAACCTGCATGGCTGAACCTGGTAGCCATTCCTGCAAGTGCTCCTGTAGATCAATCAGGTCAAGAACCTCTCCTCCATTTTCAGTCCACCAGAATAGAAAGGCCTTCAAGAGAAGACTGTCGATGCCATTCTTACCTCTTCTTGCCAGCATTGTGTGTGGAAGGATAGTAACACAGGCAGATGGTGAAAGAATTTACCAAGATATGGACAGACAGAATTTATTGAGATACACTACAAGCCCCAAATTGGGTTGTTGAGAGAGAGTAGTTGAAGAAGCTATTTGCTTTTATCTCATGGGCCACTTGTTTGGGGTAGATAGGTGAGCATCTTACTGTCTTATTGAGTAATCAATTCTATAGAACGAGTTGTTTTTCATGAGTTTGGGCTTCTCTCTAGGGTACCATATGTTGTTAAGAATGTTTATGTAAGACATCAGGCTCTGCCAGGCATTGGCAGTGCATGCCTTTAATCCCAGCACTCAGGAGGCAGAGGCAGGTGGATCTCTGTAAGTTCGAGACCAGCCTGGTCTACAAGAGCTAGTTCCAGGAAAGCCTCCAAAGCCACAGAGAAACCCTGTCTTGAAAAACAAACAAACAAAAAAGAACATCAGGCTCCTATGGTTATTGACTGGAGGTGAGAAGGTAGACATTTTGATTTTCTTTTCTTTCTTTTTTTTAAAGAGCTCTGGTGGTTTTATTAAAGGAGGCCTTTTCTGGTTTAGTAGTTCTCACCAGTCTGTTCCGGCATACTTCTAATAATACCAGAGTCACCTGGGTCAATGAAAGCCAGGGTGCATACTCTGTAGTATTTTCTTCCACATGCTGTGCCCTATTCAGTGTTATTGCCACTGTAGTGATGGACACCAGTTTTAGCCACCATGGCATAGTATTCTGTTTCAGATTTCCTTAAAGCTGGGCAGTTGTTGGCGAGGATAACCAACTTTGCTTTCCCCTGCCTAATCATCTTGAACGTCTATTTGTAGCCCAGCACGTACTTCCCACTTTTCATAACAAGCTGGAGCCTAGAGTTGATGGAGTCAAGGGACTTTTTGTCTTCTTTGCGGCCACCATCTTCCTGCCTTAGGTGAGGGACAGCCCCCAACCAAGAGCAGCTGCCAAGATGGCCGGGGAGCAAGAGAGGGGTGACATTTTTATTTTGTTTTTGACTTTCTGTCTCTGTGTGCACAAGGCATGGCATACAAGAGCTTGCTTCCCTCACCTCCTTTGAACTGATGCTTATATTATAAAATACCTTACTCATATATTTTTCATCTCCAATGCTGAGTATTTTTTGGTCCGTGTAAATTTTGAACCCTAGGTAGAGGCCTGACTTTACATCAATGGAATAGAGAAATGTTTTTATTGATGAAATCATTGCTATGGCTCTCACTAGCATGAAATCTCATGAGGGACCATGCACCAGCTTCACATGGGTGACTCCAGGGAATGCTGGATTTGCAGAACTCACCAGCATGACAGTGCCAAGTTAGAACCCATGTGGATATTTTGCCTATGAGTTGTAGCTTCTGATCTCTCTTCAGGATGGATCCTTATTTGGGAGTTTCTTCTTTTCCGCATCTGTTTCTGTCATTTTGACTTAGCCTGCATCCTCTCTGGGCACTTTTCCCCCCAGCATGTAGGTTTCATTCCGCTTAGACAGTGACCTCAGTAGAGGTGTCTACCCACAGCTGGTGATCCCTTCTCAGGGAACCCCGTGTTTACATTTCTTTCCTTGGCCCAGGGTGCTCTACCATTTTCTTTTCTTGAAGGTGCTGGAAACCTCAAGTTGATGAGACTAAAGCTCAGAAACAGCTTGAATACTTAAGGTCTTTGCTTTTGCCTGTAAGGATAGAGAAAAGGTCTTGGCTGGGAAGACTTACAGTTGACTTTGATCAACACGAAGGGCATGATGGCAAACCTCCAGAGGAGAATGTGGAGGAAAAGGTGAACCATCTAGGCATTCTAGTGGGATAACTAAAATTAAAATAAAGGTGAATAAGTTTTTTGAAAAGTATCAGTCCTGGGGAAGCTCTGGGGGTCCCTAAAGGTCCCTAAAGGTCTTTCACCTCTTTCATTTTCTAGTGGGACCTTCCTATACCTCAGCTTCCTACTTCAGCATACAGCCAACTACTCAAATTATTTCCCTTAATAAGTCTCAGGACTCCCGACTGTACCAAGGCTGGAATAGGGCTGGGGATGTGCAGAGGGTGGGATGTGGTGATAAAGGCCAGAGTGAAGGCCTTCCTTCTGTTCTCTCATGCCCTGCCTGAACCCGGCCTACCATAACCTCTCACCCTCATGCTCTTCCCCTTTCTGTAAAGATTCCTCTACTCCCTCAGCTCTCCCAGAACTCAGGAATGGTGTCTTCCCCTTTCTCTGCTCTTATTTGCACTCTCAGCTCATTTCTATAGAGCCCCTGTTCACATCAGGCTACATTTGTTTCTGACCTCAACCTCCTTGGAGACAGGAACTCTGTCTTTTCCACCTGGTTATCAATGGCAGTGTCAAACAGGAGGCATGCTGATGGCTTCCGTTTACCCCATCTTCCTTCCCCCTGCCAGGCCTCAGTGGTCAGAACTGTCCACGACAATACAGAGGAACATCTAAATCTTTGTGTGCTGTTTCTTTCCTCCTCTTCCTCTGCAGGTGCTTGATGTGTCTGGGGCAGATATTTTGGCCAAGTCTATTGCTAACTGCCAGGTAGAGCTTCTGGAAAATTGTGGCCACTCAGTGGTGATGGAGAGACCAAGAAAGACAGCCAAGCTCATTGTCGACTTTTTAGCTTCTGTGCATAACACAGACAACAACAAGAAGCTGAACTGAGGCCCTTGCTACAGCCTGCATTGTTCACACAGCATCTGCTTCCATCCCCAAAACTTGACAAAGTCACTACTCTCAGGAATCCTGCCCTAAATGCCATTGGAGTACCAGTGTCCCTGAGGAAGCCAGTCTCCTATACTAGTATTCTTGGTTCCACAGAGCATCAGGGGCCACAAGGAAATCTCCAAGATCTTTTTTCAAAATAGGAACCTAAATGCAACTGAATTAAAAAAAAAAATACCTAGCCATGAAGCCTACTAGAAGTCTTCAGGTTCATGTCACTGATAAGCCAATGCTAAACAGCCACCTTGGACCGTGATCATCAAAGATATTTTCTTTAAGACATTCCTCACACGTTAAACTTGAGCTATTTTTTGTTGCTTCAGATGTATCCTTTGCATGGTCAATGGCTTCTTCTGTAGAAGCTTTAGTCATTTGTTGAACTCTTATTTAGATCTAATTCAAGTTTTACATAGAGGCCCAGGTGTGAATGCAGCCCATTAGCCACAAGACCAGAGAAGAAACAGTAAACTGTGGAAGGGGTTTCTGCCCCAAGGCCTGATGCACAGACAGACCTGGAATCTCAGCCACTTGGCTAGCTGAACCCCGGGGATCCAAGATCAAGGCTTGCCTGAGGTACAGAGTGAGTTCAAGGACAGCCTAAGCTACTGACTGAGACAAAAAAAAAAAGAAAAGAAAAAAAAATTTTTTTTTTTTTAACATGTAGAAACATACATGGAGGAGCACTGTTTGGCCTCAGCCGGCCCTCAGAACTGCTGAAATAGCAGAACACAGGCTGATGGGTTTGGGTACCTACAAATCAGTTGTGTCAGAGTGAGCAGAATGAAGAGTGTCTGACAGGGTGGGTTTCCTAGGAATAATTTATAATTTTTAAGATAAGACTAATAAAGCAATAATGCTCTAGACTTCTATCTAATCATACTGGAGTTCCATACCAAGCAGCTCATGGGCATCTTTTCTATTTTGCTGTTCTACTGATAACCATTGGATATAAAATACTAGTTTGTTAATGAATTCTGTGAATTCTATGAACAATAATGTGATTGAAAAATGAGTCCAAACAGCTGTAAAAGTGACCACAGTCATGTGAAATAAATTTAGTAAGTCTAGGCTCTTCTGAGCTCCTAGTGGGGTACAATATTAGTAGATTTTCTGTTCACTTAAAAATGTGTTGATTTGTGGGGACATGTGAGGAGGCCAGAGGTTAACAGTTGACAGCAGGTATCTTCCTCAGTTAGTCCCCACCTCATTTTTAAGACAAGATCTCTCAGTGAACCCGAAGCTAGCAAAGCCCCAGGTACCCTTCCCTTACCACCTGCCCAGTGCCCAGTTTTTTACATGAGTTCTCAGGCTTACACGGTAAGCCCTTTATCAACCGAGCCATCTCTCTGGATCCTAAAATGTGTTTCTACTGATTTATATTTACTGTAATTATGTGGATGTGTCTGTGTCTGTGTGGGGGTAGATGCAGGGGAGTGGAGGTGCTTGTGGAGGCCAGCAGTTGCAGGTCCCCTGAAACTGCATTTACAGGACATTGTGCCTTGCCTGTCATGAGTATTGGGATTCAAACTTGGGTCCTCCGTATGAGCAGTGTGTACTGGTTACTGCTGAGCCATTACTCCTCCTAAGTGTGTTTTTTAAAGTAACAGAAATTATCTCTCAAAAGCAGAAGTCATCAATTTGTTCCGGTTTTTTTCTTCCTTTTTTCTTTTCTTATTTTTTTTTTTGTTTGTTTTGTTTTTCTGGGTTTTTTTTCAGGACAGAGTTTCTATGTGTAACAGTTCTGGCTGTCCTGAAACTCTCTTTGTAGACCAGGTTGACCTCGAACTCACAGAGATCCACCTGCCTCTGCCTCCCGAGTGTTGGGATTAAAGGTGTGTGCTGCTAACACCCAACAATTTGTTCCTTTTCCTTCACTTCTGTTGTTTATGTTTTAATGGTAATCCACAGTGTGGTTTGAATATTGTAATTAATCAGAGAAGTATGGAGTATAGTTCTTAAAAAGAATAGTTATAAAATGTCATCAAGCTTGTGAGATGTAGCCAATGCACTGTTCAGGAAAATATATAGGTGTAAATGAATACATTAGAAAAGAAAGGCTGAGCCAAGCGATGGTAGTATATGCCATTAATCCCAGCACTTGGAATGCAGAGGCAGGCAGATCTCTGTGAGTTTGAGGTCAGCCTTGTCTATAGATGGAGTTCCAGGACAGCCAGGGCTACTCAAAGAAACCCTGTCTTAAAAAACCAAAAATAAAAAAGGAAGAAAAGAAAGGCTGAAAATCAATAAATTAAGCTTCTACATCCAGAAGCTGGGGCGGGTGAGTAAATCAATGAAACAAGGGAGTGATCCAACTGAAAATAAAAATCAACAGAATCTATTCTGTTTCTCAAAAAAAGAAAAAGTGTATAGTAGATTATTTGACTTTTTTCCATGAGTTCTGAGTTTCCTGTGAGGAGGGTGACTCTGCACTTGGGCGATGAGAGATGGTTTCCTGTGAATCACTGGACCTGGGGATCCATTTCAGAACAGCAGCCTTCTGAACACTGGGTTTCTTAGTGGTAAGGATTGGAAGAGTCTGTGAGCCAGGTGTCCTGGTGTGTACTCCTAATCCTAGAACCTGGAAAGAGAAGGCAGGAAGATCATGAAGCCATAGTAAGATGGTCTCAAAGCACAGTGGCACGGGGAGAGGGATCTGCATTGTCATTCAGGCAGGGTATGTGCTGTCCACCTCGTCTGTCTGTACCAACAGAACAGTTGACAGGCTCTGCAGTGTGACATGGCCCCCACTTCCTCCACTGTCAACAGAAACCCTTGAAGGAAGACATAAACCAAGACTAAGAGAGTTGTTTTGGATAAACACAAAGTAGGTTTTCAGGGTCCTCTGATGGCACTGGCGTGCTGGGAAGTCTCTTGTACCCTATGTCTTACTCCAGTAATTTTAAGAAGCCTGTTAGTTCCTGCTGGCTAGCTGCCACCACACCAGATCCTGCTGGGCTTTGCTGAATCTTGAAGAAAGGAATCATTCACCACAGCCCTTTATGAAAGACTGCCAGAAACTTCTGGGATAAAATGGAAAGCCCAGTAGACTCAATCCCTTTGCTTGGAGTTGGCACAGAGTTTTTGCAGATTGAGCTTCCTGGTCAAATACTGGAGACACTGAGGGAAAAGCAATGATCAGAACTTCTTGCCATCCATCTGGGCAGCTTCTTCAGGATGGGAGTGACAACAGGAATGACATAGGTACCAGGTGACATATGCCAGGTTGAAGGTGCTGCCTGTTCAACTCTGTGTCATCCACTTGAGTCCCTGCGTGGCCCCTGTATTCCAGGGAGTCATACCTGCTGCTCTGCCCCAGGAAAGTTCCCAGAAAGCACTGGAGGATTGGAATACCTGCCAGGTGGGGCTGCAGGACTGAGGCTACTGTGTTTGTCCGATCCCTTTTTCTATCTCCTCTCTTTCTATGCCTCTCCCAGTATGAGCCACACACAGGCACAGACAGTTACCTCCTAGTCACTGGAACATGACTCTGCTAAGTTTTCCTCTATCTCTGAAGTGTCACCCTGAAGCCATTGACTAGACTTCCTGGTCAGCTATCAGGGGGTTAAAAAGTAGACAGCATTTTGAAGGAGAAAGAATGAACAGAGATGGGGCAATGGGAGATAACCTCATCTTAGCTGAGCACCTGCTGGCTAGCTGCCACCACACCAGATCCTGCTGGGCTCTGCTAAGTCTTGAAGAGAGGAATCATTCACCACAGCCCTTTCTGAAAGACTGCCAGAAACTTCTGGGATAAAATGGAAATCCACAGGCCTTTGTGGTTTAATATCATCCATGTTCTCTAGGCTGGAAAGAACCAGGGTGTGGGCCTAGCAGTTCCTCTGCCTGTGGTGGGAACAAGGGTCTTGAGTCACCATCACTGTTCTGAGAAAGGTACAGGCACCAGGCAGCTGGGCTGTTCTTGTTCTGAGTCAAGTAGGGAGTACTACTTTCTGAGTTTTGGGATCTTTGGTACTTAAATCTCCAATGGGAACCTTGGGCCATGGAGTTCTATCCAGTAATGGGAATGAAGAATTCTGACAATCCTAGTGGCCCAAGCCCAAAGCTATGTGGATCATATGACTCTAATTGATTGTAATACAACTCTAGGAAGGTCACTCTCAAGACTAATGTGAGCCTACTTCCATAATTCCTCACCAAGGCTCTCAGATCTGAATGTTACTTAAATTCAGAACCATCCCTATGTAAAAGGACAATGCACCGTATTTCATATATCTCAACTCCATGCATGATCCAATCGATGTATCCATGTTTCTACTGTCTGTAAATTGGATGAGATCTGAAACAAGCCTTCCCTTCATGTTGGTACTGGGTGAGAAGACTGTGCTCTGTTTTGCTTTTTGTTTGTTTCTTAATTACAGAGTCGCAGATAAAGAATGGGAACCTGCTCTCCAGGTCCCAACTCTTCCGTTTTGAGTTGGTGGCACACTGAGGAAGAGAATTTTCCGGTATGGAGAAGAACACACCCTGTACATGGGAGTGTGCCACAGCCTCTTCCTGACCATCAGTAGTTTATCCTAATACTTTTTTTTAATGTATTTATTTTATGTGCATTTGTGTATGCCTGCATGCATGTGTGAGGGTGTCAGATCTTGGAGTTACAGACAGCTGATAGATGCCATGTGGGTTCTGGGAATTGAACCCAGGTCCTCTGGATAAGCAGCCAGAGCTCTTAACCACTGAGCCATCTCTCCAACCCTATCCTAGTATTTCAATTATTGTTATTAATGATACCTGTCACTTTCATTTTCTCATGCTAAGAAGAAAGATACCTATACCTCCTGCATGGCCCCATGCCCCCCATCTTTTTTTTTTTTTTTTGGAATGTCTGTGTACTTGCATACACATATACATACCTGTAATCAGATAGGACCTGCAGGTGGTTCGATGAACTTTTTTTTAAACCAAAACAAAAAGCATAAATGCTGGGAATTATTGTTGCTCTTACTCACCTGCCTCTCCTACCTCTATACCTTGGGACTCTTCTAGATCAACCCACAGAGCCTTGGAAACTACAGAGTTCTCCAGAGAAAAGTGTAGAATGCCTAGGTACCTTTGAGAAAGTATTTTGGAATTTGAAGACATTATCTAGCCAGGTACAATAGTAAAAGCCTATATGATTGTAGCTGCTTCAGAGGGTGACAAGCTGGAGGCCAACTTAGGAACATCCTATCTCAGAGTTAAAAGCTAAGGATACAGCTCTATGGCAGAACACTTATCCTGTGAAGCTTTGAAAGAGAGGAGGAAGATGGGGGGAGTACAGGGGAGGGAGAGGAGCGACCCAAGACCTAACCTAGAAGCAATCTGCTTCAGTACAGTGTGGTTAGATTCTCCTTTACTGGGGTCTTCAGGGTTTTTGTTTTTGTTTTTGTTTTTTTTTTTTTGTTTTTTTTTTTTGAAGGGATTCTAACCAGCCTGGGCCTGGGAAACATGGCTTTGGCAGGACTTGCCCTTCTTCCCCATTCTCTCGGCCTTGCTAAAAACCATTAGGTTACATTCCTAAAGCTAGCCTCCAAGGTCTAATCCCATATTTGGTCACTTCCTCCTCCTGAGACTGACTACCAAAGTCCAGCAATCAAAAGCCCCCTTTGGATCACCTAATTAATATGCCCAATTAAAATTAAACACCTCATCCTGACACAGGGTTTCTCCCTTTACCTTTATAAACTGACATTTGCCTATGTGCCAAGTCTGTCTCTTCGCTATCCAAAGGCTGTCCTTTGTCCCCTGGGACAAATATCCCTGCCCCTTTCATTTGTTCCCTTCCCCTTCTCCCTGGTCCTCTATCTCCCTGTTTGTGTCTTATTCCCTGCCCTTTGTTCCTCTGGAGCAAATAAATCTCCTTTGTGCTGAGGAATTGGCCGTGGGGGTCCTGAGCCAATACTTTTCCTTTCAGTTTGTTTTTCAGGAAAAGTCTTCCTCTCCCTCATCATTTAGAAGCTTTCAATGAAATTGGCTAAGACACAAAGTGCCTGACTTTGGTGCCATCAGGCACATATCTGGGGAAGGGCCAGGACAGAGGGGAGGGCACTAAGGCAGAGACCAAGCCATGCTCCCCCAGATGGTAGAGGTGTTTGAACCTACAGTTCTGGGTCAGAGCTTCTAATCTGTTTCCTGTGGTCTGCTGAGCTGCTCCAGGAATCCCGGCCTGCAGAAGCCACTCCTGTTCATCCAGCTCCCTTTTAGTAACCTTTGCACTGCAACCCTGCAGTACACTGGTTGCTGGCTCAGCTAACTGACAAGCTCTGAACCGCTAAGCCATGTCTCCAGCTCAACACACACTCTTGCACACACATGTATGTGTAGAGGTTAGAGGAAGCCACTGGGTGTCCTGCTCTGTCACTCTATGCATTATTCCCTTGAGGTAGACATCACTCAGTCTGAACCTTAGATTTATACCAGGCTGGCTGGCCAGTGAGCTGCTACTGCTTTTCATCCCCCCAGGTGCACATGTGACCATGCCTGGCTTTTTACCTGAGGGGATCTGAACTCAGGTTGTCTATCTCCCACTGAACTATCTCAGCCTAAACCTCACAGATTCTTCAAGACAGGATTTCTCTATATAACAGCCCTGGCTGTCAAGGAACTTACTCTGTAGACCAGGTTGGCCTTGAACTCACAGACATCCATCTGTCTCTGCCTCCCTGGTGCTGGGATTAAAAGTGTGCACCACTGCTACCCAACCCACAGATTCTTTTTTTGTTGCTTGGTTTTGGTTTTCAGTTTGGGGTAAGGAGGTGAGACAGGATGAGCCAGGTAGCCCAGGCTGGCTTCACAGTCTCCATGTTCCTGCCTCAGCCATGTGAGTGCTCAGATCATAGGCATGCACCATCATGTGATGAATCCTTATTTTCATTTGCTGCAGCTTTGGGGTTGCCTTAAAGATCGCAAGTCCTTTGTACTCCAGATCTTCCTATGTGATCCAGCTGCAGCTGAACTCACCTCTGATATGAAACTTCAGTAAGTACGCTGTCCAATCTGGACCAGCAGGACACAAAAGCAACTGTCAAGCTTTGTCAAGACAGGGTAGGACAGTCCTTAAAATTTTCCTGCTTCTTAAAATGGTGTGTCAGATATTCTAGGCCTATAAGCCAAAGTTGGAAGCCTCAATGTCATAGAGAAACCTTGGGTGACTGTCTAGGCACCCAGCTCTTTTCTGTCATTTCTTGCATCTTTTGGAAGCTGCTTGCTTGTACTTCCTGCTTATTACTTACTCAGATAATATTTTCCTTTTCAGGTCTTTGACAGGGTTGAAGACTAGATAGCTATAGTTACAATCCCCTCAATTCTTAACTAAGGGCATATTAGGTACAAAACTTAGATTCTTCAGGAAAGGACAGCTATTGGAGTAATCTCTATAAAAATTGCCTATTACCTATGGTCTGGACAGCTAAGATGTACTTCTTTATATTTTTCTTATTGTATATAGTTTTTATTATGTTAGGATTGGAAGCTTCATTTTTATTTTAGACTAAAAGTGGGAAATGTGGGGATTTGGTCTGATAGCCAATTGGATGGGGAGCTTGGCCCAATGGGCATGGTCTTTTCTGGAGATAAGTGACCCAATTAAAAGGAGGGTGGATTTGATTTATTCCTAAAAGAGATAAAGAAAGTTCAGAGAAGGTCACCAAACCGTGGTTTCAGCAAGCCCTCCCCAGTCCAAGAGAGTAAGAGATACCCGCCCCCCACCCTCAGTGGGTCACATATCCCCAGAGAGGACCACACCCATTGGGCCAAGCCACCCCAAACAATTGGCTATTGGATCAAATTCCCACAACACTCACCTCCTTGCTTTCTACCCTCCAATCCCTGCTTCCCTCCTTTTCACCAGCTCCACATGAGCCACAAGTAAGTTTTTTTCAGTTCTTGATTGGAGATCAAGAAACCCCAGGGTTTTCTTGAAGAAGCAGCTCGTAGCCTGGCCATCCATGTGGAAGGGATAGAACCCAATTGAAGTTTTCTGCTGCATTTTCTTCATCTGTGACAGGTGACAATGACTGAGCCACTGATGGCATTACAGTGTCACTATATATATGATAGAGATGGCATGATGTGAGCCAGCTGGCTGGCACTTGGTGACTCTCCTTAAAATGAAATGGAAGTGATGGCTGGAAATGAAATGGATCTGCTGACACAGGCCATGATTCGAATGGGGTGGATGGACAATTGTGGAATAGATTTCTCCCTGGGTACTGTAGAAAATCTAGTTGGCACCAATAGCAAGGCAGGGAAAGGAGAACAGAGAAATGAAGTGTGAACAAAACCAGTGCATTAATGTATGCCGTACTCAAAATGTTCCACTAGGGGCTGTAGAGATGTCTCCATGGTTAAGAGCACTGACCGCTCTTCCAGAGGACCAGAGTTCAATTCCCAGCACCCATGTGGCAGTTGGTAACTGTCTTTGACTCCAGTTCCAGGGGATCTGGCACTCTTACACAGACATACATGCAGGCAAAACACCAATGCCCATTTAAAAAAAAAAAAGTTCCACTGGAACAATGCCAGGATGCCTACCATCAAAACACTCTGCTGGCTAGATTTATGTCAGCTTGACACAAGCTATAATCACAGGAAACAGGAGGAAATCTCGATTGAGAAAATACCTCTATAAGATTGGGCTGTAAACTGGGCCGCGGCGGTGGTGTTCACCTTTAATCCCAGCACTCAGGAGCAGAGGCAGGCGGATCTCTGTGACTTTGAGGCCAGTCTGGTCTATAAATCAAGTTCCAGGACAGCAGAGCTGTTATATAGAGAAACCTTGTCTCAAAAAATAAAACAAAAAAGATCTGGCTGTAGGCTAGTCTGTAGAGCTAATTAGAGATTTATGGGGGAGGACCCAGCCCATTGTGGGTGGTGCCATCCTTGCACTGGTGGTCCTGGGTACTATAAGAAAACAGATTGAGTAAGCCAGTAAGCAGAACTACTCCATGGCCTCTGCATCAGCTCCTGCCTCCAGGTTCCTGCCCTATTTGAGTTCCTATCCTGACTTTCTTCAGTGATGGACTATGGTGTGGAAGTGTAAGCTAAATAAACCCTTTCCTCCCCAACTTGCCTTTGGTCATGGTGTTTCATCACAGTAATAGTAACCCTGCATAAGACAAGTAACCGTGTACTTACTTGTGTGTTTTGGGAAGGGCTGAGGAAGGCTTACAAACATGTATGAGACACCACGATAGAAAGTTAAACATGCCGGGCGTTGGTGGCACATGCCTTTAATCACAGCACTCGGTGGGCTGGAGAGATGGCTCAGAAGTTGAAAGCACCGGCTGCTCTTCCAGAGGTCCTGAGTTCAATTCCCAGCAACCACATGGTGGCTCACAACCATCTGTAATGAGATCTGGTGCCCTCTTCTGGTGTGCAGATATACATGGAAGTAGAATGTTGTATACATAATAAATAAATAAAATCTTTAAAAAAAATCCCAGCACTCGGGAGGCAGAGGCAGGTGGAGCTCTGTGAGTTTGAGGCCAGCCTGGTCTCCAGAGTGAATGCCAGGATAGGCTCCAAAGCTACACAGAGAAACCCTGTCTTGAAAAACCAACACACACACACACACACACACACACACACACACACACACAAATTAATGGTAAGTGAAATAGGATGGACTGAGAGCTGTAGTGGTTGAGTTAAAAGATAAAGATTTTCCACGAAATCCTGCATGTCACCAAGTGTATGTGACCAGATGGAAACTGACTTGGTATGTATAATTAAACATAGATACTTTGAAGGTGACTGATAACCTAAGAGAGCTATTTCAGACTCATAATTCATAGTGTCTGTTAAATATGCACCAGCTTCTTACAAGACACCTAATTCCTTCTACTGCCAAAAGAGTTTCTTACAACTCCTCAAGGAAGTTGGTGATGATCTATCTGTACAAGAAGTGAAGAACTGGATTCCAAGCCAGTTCTGGCAACTTCCAAAATCCAAACTTTTTTTGAGAAAGAAAATGTCACTATCTAGTGTCAGTGTTAGTTTCCTCCATTTATTCCCCATCTGAAACAAGTCCTGTCCCCCCTGAGGGGGAAGGAGCAGAAGCCACATGACTACAGAGCATGGCCAAGACGAGAATGACAGAGTTTTAGGAAACAACAAATATTAGGTTCTTTTCTCAGTTATAGAGAAGGCCCCAACTGGCCTAGGCACAGGATTGGCTGTGCAAGGCATACATTTTATCCCCACTGCCATGTCTAGCTCAGGCCAAATCAAAAACATTTTTAGTAAGTACAAGCTGAGTGACCGCTGGTACCAAGGCATACAAGGCAGTGATAAGCCATCACACAAGTCCCCACACACAGAGATCACCTCAGACTCCAGCTGGTTTAAGATGGTGTAGTCTGGACATTACTGGCCAAAGCAGATAATCTGTAATACCACTTGTAATCATGATGGGGTGGGGGCAGATAATTTAACCTTTCCCTATTGGGATAATAGCTACCCCAAGGTTGTTTGAGGGTTCCATTAGATAACTTAGGTAAAATCTTTTGTACAATGCCTGGCACCAAGTAATATTAATTTGCTATTGTTACTATTAAATACACACTATATGTCACACATAGAGAGGGACTATACCTTATGCTCCTGAGCTCCCACCGCCCAGAATGGGGGCTAGCACATAGTGAATTCAGAACAAACTCTTGGTCAGTAAATCAAAAGTGGAATAACTTACATCTGGATACAGGAGCAGCTAGATCTTTCCATGTCAAGACAGAACGTCTACTGTGTGATAGGAGCCATAAAGGGCCACTGACAGTGGATCTTGTCTGGTGCCTGAGAGATGTTCTTGAAGAGGACAAGGCTTAGATTTAGCTTAGTGGTGGAGGACTTGCTTAGCATAGATGAAGCGGTGGTTTTGATCCCTGGCACAGCGAAAGAAGAAAAAAACAAGGAAAATAATCTAAGAGAGGAGATGTTTGATATAAACTGTTGCAAATGAATGTAGAGATAAATGACCACGAAGATTGCTAGCGCCTAAAAAACATGCCACAAATGCAAGTTCCGGAAATGGGCGCCAGGGGGCGCTGAACCCATCGGCCTCAGCCCGGCTGAGGACCATGCCACCGTCTAGGGGGCCGACGCCGAGCAGTGATGTCACTTCCGCTTGCGCGTCGCGTCTGTGGGGAGGTGCGGGGCGGAGGCAAATGTAAACACATCACATTTGCAGGCCCAGACTTGGGCTGCTGCGTGGGAACTCCGACCCGCGCCCGGTTCTAGCAGCGCGCAGGAGACAGGGACGCGGCTGATCCAGCGCCGCCGGAGCCTCTTAACGGCCCGCGGCCTGTGCGGGTGCGCATGCGCGAGGCGGTGCGGCTGGCAGGTCGGTCCGGGTTCCAGACGGCGGGGAAGGTTGAAGGTAGCGCACTCCCCTCGTGGTGGGCGCCAAGTAGATGGCGGTTGTTGTCGAGCAAGGTTGCAAACCGCATAACTCTTAGAGCAGTAGGGGGCCGGGCTTCTTCCACGGCTGCTTTGCTCCCATGAGTCCCAGAGTTGTGTTTCGTGTGCTTCAATGTGCAAGGCACGTTTGAATCCGGTAGAAGCCATAGGGACTAAACATTGTTTTTCGGAGTACAGGCGTTGTGAGAGGCAGGAGGAAGGAAGTGGAGATTAGATATTCTGTAGTTCTGTTAGAATTTAAGGGTTGCAAGGACTGGGCAAGGAGGGGTTGGCGCCATCGTAGATCAGATTGAGCCGTGGAACGCATTGAGTAAGATGAAGGAGGCTAGGAAGTGTGAGACACGTGGCTACCGGCTTCTGGGTTGCAGAGAAACTAGTCTTAGCCGAGGCCAAGAGGAGGAGGAAGCCTAGAGTGTTAGGTCTCACGAGATTCCTGTTCTCTGGGTAGTGGTGGTGCACGCCTTTAATCCCAGCTCTCGGGAGGCAGAGGCAGATGGATCACTATGAGTTCGAGACCAGCCTGCTCTACAGAGTGAGTTCCTGGACAGTCAGAAGTCTGTTACACACTGTCTCGAATACCACCCCCACCCCCAGAGGAATTCCTTTTCTCCGGTCTGGCACTTAGACAAAAGCTGCCATTCCCTCTGGAATTTAAGACAGTTGAGTCATTCTCCACTTACCTCTGGCTAAAGGTTCACTGGGCTCCTCTTTTAACCTATGACTGTGGTGCTTATTAGCATATCAAGGGCTATGCTAGGCCCCCTCAGTCCCTGCTCACAAGTACCTATTACAGTTATTCTGGCTGACAAGTCCTGCTCCCTCCCCTAACCACCTCAGGCCCAGCTTTTCGTTCCTGTGTAACTCAGCTATTTGATTATTAACTCAGCTCTCTTGGTTTTTCTCTTCCTCTTGCTTCTCTTTTTTTTTTTTTTTTTTTTTCTCTTTTTGGTTTTTCAAGACAGGGTTTCTCTGTGGCTTTGGAGGCTGTCCTGGAACTAGCTCTGTAGACCAGGCTGGCCTCGAAGTCACAGAGATCTGCCTGCCGAGTGCTGAGATTAAAGGTGTGTGCCAGCAACACCGGCCCTCTTGGTTCTCTTGATTATTCACACCCTCTTTTGTTTCTCTTTTGTCCTCTTGGTTCCTCTCTCTTGCTGTCCCTGACTGTACATGAGGTCAAAGCAGGACCTCAAAGATTTCCACCCTACTCTGCATAAAATCAGAAGCATCACTACGTCTGAGCAGAGTTGTGATATGAGGCATTTTGGGTTTTGTTGGTTTTTTTTGGGGGGGGTGGAGTGGTGATGGTTCAGGACAGGTCTCTGTGGGTAGCCCTGGTTGTCATGCTGTCATGGATCTGTAGTAGGCTGGCTGGAACTCTCAGAGATCCACCTGCCTCTGCCTCCTGAGTGTTGGGATTAAGGGCATTTAGCATCACCACCTAGCTGTGATGTGGTTTAACACGTTCACAGCAGCCATATAGATTAGAGAGGGGGGCAGAAGATCAAAACCAAGTAACTTGCTAGCAACATCCCTGCAATCAGAAAAAGGCATCAACAGTGACTGTAAGAGGTATACATCTTGAACCTGTTGAGTATGATGCCAAACTACTGAGGACGATACTAGATTTTACTCTGAGAGCTTAAGACTATACAAAGTGACTCTTTAAGTCATCATTTTAAAGGTTAGTTTATTTTTATTTAATTGTATGGAGGATTTGCCTGCATTTGTATTTATGCACCATGTTGTTGCAGTGCCTAGGAAGGCCAGAGGAGGGTGTTGGATCCTCTGGAACTGGAGTACAGACCCTGTGGGTACTGGAAACCCAGCCTGGCTTCTCTACAAGAGCAGCAAGTGCCCTTAAAAAGAGTAAAATATACAGTGTGTCATTTTAACTTTCTTTTGGTCATTAAGGAAATATGCATTGTCATGTGACCATTAACCACCATCATTGTCTAACCAGGGTTACATAAAGTACTATAATAAGTCTTTAAAAGTCAAATAGGCTGGATGTGCTGACATTCTAGCTGGTGATCTCTGTCCTTCCTAGAGAAAGGCAGGAGGATCAGTTCAAGGCTAGCCTTAGCTATATAACAAGTCTTTCTCAATTTAAAAACACAATACTACTACTAATAATAATAAGGTGTATCTGGTAATTATGAGCGCTCTTGACTCCTTGTAGGAACTCCATGTTTGAAGATGCCAGCTACAGCATATGAAAGACTAGTTTACAAGAGCCCCTCGGAGTACCACTACATGAAAGTCTGCTTGTAAGTTCAGTCTTATAATGTTTTCCCCCACCCCAATCTGAAAAGCATGGAGTTTAATATGATAATTTCTCTTTTTAATATTTTTTTTTCCAGAGAGTTTCAAGAACACGGAGTTGGACTGAATACAGCCCAATTCAAACAACTGCTTGTTTCAGCCCTGAAGGACCTGTTTGGGGAGGTATGAGTTACTTGGCAGATTAAGTAAGATTCTTTAGGTTTTCATAAGACATTCTAGAAAAGGGACTAAGAGTATATCTAGCCCAGTGGTGAAATGATGGGTCATACCTGTCACTTGGGCACACACCTATCATAATTCTAGCATCTGTGATTCTACCCCTGGTAAGTGAAAGTAGAATAAGAATTCAAGGTAAACCTCCTCTACATAGCCGTTGGAAGTCAGCCTGTCTACATACTTTTTTAAAATGAAGAAAACTTTGTTGTTTGTTTGAGAAAAGTTCTCTGTATATCCCTGGTTGTCCTGCAGTTTGCTCTATAGAACAGGCTAGCCTTGAATTCACAGAACCACCTACTTCTGCCTCCCAAGCACTGGGCTTAAAGGTAAGCAACACCACTCCTGGCCTAGAAGAGTACTTTGTAAGAAACACAGAAATATCATCTTTTAAAGGTATACTGGAATTTGCAAAAGCCAACTTTCAGAAATAATGAGTTCTGGTAGGTTATTCCAGTGTGCCCTGTATTGACAAGGAACCTGGTAGGCCACGGTTTGTTTTTGCACAGCTATCAAATTATAGTCTAGATTGGTAATATCATTGCCCATCTTTGTAAAGATGAAGGGTTTATATGGGAGCTATCACACTTGAGTGAGAAGGTCTCTTTATAAAGCAGTGTGAGGGATGGCAAGATGTCCTGAGTTCAGTTCCTGGAACCCACATGGTGGAAGGAAAGAGCAGACTCTTGAGAATTTTCTTTCACCTCCACACATGTGCAGTGGCTCATATATAGTGCTCATATATAGATACATATACATATGTGTGTGAGCAATAGACCGCTGGTACATGTACATGCTAGGACACGTGTACATGTGGGGAAAACACACATAAAAATAAATAATTAGTTTTTACATTCCAATCTCTGTTCTCCCTCCCTGCCCTCATCTCCTCCCACTCCCCCGTCTTCCCCCCCCCCACTTCCACCCACCCCACCTCCCATCTGCTTGTCAGAGAGGGTAAGGCCTCACCTAGAAAATCTGTTAAGTCTGTCCCATCATCTTGTTGAGGCAGGACCAAGGCCCCCCCACACCCCTATGTCTAGGTATCCTGAAGAAATCTCCTGTGTGTTGGGAGGCAGAGGCAGGTGGAGCTCTGTGAGTTCGAGACCAGCCGGGTCTACAGAACTAGTTCCAGGACAGCCACAAAGCCACAGAGAAACCCCGTCTCGAAAAAACCGGGAAAAAAATCACCTGTGTGAAAAAATTACACACGTATAAATATAAATGTGCACACATGGTGTCAACTCTAAGTACATTCTGAATTGTATTAATACCAGTTACCTGGCTTTGATCAGGTACCAGGTTATATAAGATGCTGTTTTGGGGGAGCCTGAGGGAAGAGTACATGAACTTCCCTGTAGATTGCAACAAATTATAAAACAAAACCTGCAATTTCTATATGCTATTAAAAAAAATGTAGTTTCAGGAGACAGAGCTGTAAGACATGGCCTCTATCTCTTGGGCTATCTATCAGTCTTGTTAGTGACAAGAAGGAGAGGGTATGGAGAGCAAAGTGTGAAGTCTTGTATAAGAAAGAGCCCAGTTAGACTGAGCCTAATCTTGTGAATATGGGAAGGAGCTGCTTTTGTTGTTGTTGTTTTGATTTTTTTTCTGGAGACAGGGTTTCTCTGTGTGTAGCTCTGGCAGTCCTGGAACTCACTCTGTAGACCAGGCTGGCCTTGAACTTAGAGATCTGCCTGCCTCTGCCTCCCAAGTGCTGGGATTAAAGGCATGTGCAACACCACTTACCCAGTGGGAAGGAGCTTTTTTAAAAACTGTGGGAGGGTATACACAGGTATGTATATGCCTGTGTGCATGTTTGGGAGTTAGTTCTCTTCTTTCACCATGTGGGTTCTGGGGAATGAACTATGGGATCAAGCTCAGGTTATCAGGGTTTGTGCCAGACACCTTTACCCACTGACCAGTCTCAACAGCTGGAGAAGGAACACTCTAAACACAGATTCAAAGGTAAGGAGGTATGAAGAAGGATAGGAATATTCTTAGCAGGCACATGAGAGTACTAGTACTGTAATTGAATGAGAAATGACAGGAGTCTGCTAATGGTATTGTTCCATACATAGGTCGGTGCTGCTTTACCTGTGGACATCCTAACCTATGAAGAGAAGACTTTGTCAGCCATCTTGAGAGTATGCAGCAGGTATGGCAGTTAAACAGCTCTGGAATTATAGGGCAGAGAGAGTGGTGGGATAGCACAGTGAAGATGTTTCTAGGATGAGAGTGCATGGCTGGGAACCCTGAGCACCTTTGAGGCATTTACACTGGAATTCATATGAACAGTCCTCTACCTGGATTATACTTGAGATAAGAGAAAATCTGTGGTTTGATCGCAGCCAGTTTCCCAGTTGATGATTGTTGTTTTAAAGTCAGAAATGTGTGCATTTTAGATTCTTGGGGACTCAATTTGTTCTTTCAGCGATACGTTCTTCTAAGATTTCTGTTTTATTTAAATGAGGCTTCTGTGGGTTGTCTGTTTTTAACTTTCTAGAAAGCCACAAGCAAAAAGTACTAGGGAGCTGTTAGCAGCAGAAATCTTTATTTATGCTTTCTTGATCTTTATGCAGTGGTCTGGCTAAATTGTGGAGCTCTTTGACCTTGTTTGGAACCTATAAAAACAAGAAGTGTGCCTTCAGAGTGATTCAGGTAAAGGCTTTTCCTTCATAATTTCTCGGAGGACTGAGCACTGTGGTGATGTGATCTGGGTGTGTATCTCAGTTTTGCCTTGAGTAAAGCAAACAGACTTAACATCGAGCAAGGGCAAACCCAGAATACCACTGCTTCTAAAAGAGACTGAGGCAAAGTGGTCCGATTTTAGGTCACAAAGGAGATGTTTGGAAGTCAAACTTGGAATGTGTGGTAAAGGCTTCCCATTGAGTGCTACGTGCAGTGTTGTCTTAGCAAACTGTTTCCAGGCTTACGAGTACTTGTTCAGCCAGTGCTCCCTTCAGAATGTGCCTTAAAATGTGACTGCTGCATTGTGCATCCTGTAAAACACGTGTGTTTCTTGTGTTGCTTGTTGTTCCCACACAGTTTGAACTAACCTTTTCTTCTTTTGTAGGTGTCTCCCTTTCTCCTTGCATTATCTGGTAATAGCAGGGAACAAGTGTTGGGTTGAATACTCTTAAAGTTCCAGAAACTTCCCACTCTGAACAGTATCTTTTGATGTCTACATAGACTGAAAAAAGAAGCAGGCTAAAGCCCCTATTGATGACATTTGGAGATACCGAAGATGTTCTCTGTGATTTCTGGCCATCATCTCTGGTGGAGTGGGCTTCAGAGGAGACTGTGGCTAAATTGCCTGGTACCAACAGGGCGGTGCTTTCAGCATGTGCACACACGAGTTGGAGACCGTGCTGAGCTCAGCAGAGCCTTCACACAGCAGGATGTAGCTACTTTCTCAGAGCTTACAGGAGATATCAATCCTTTGCATATAAGTGAAGATTATGCAAAACACACCAAGTTTGGAAAGACAATTGTGCATGGAGTTTTGATAAGTGGACTTATTTCTGCTCTCCTGGGTACTAAAATGCCAGGGCCAGGCTGTGTGTTTCTTTCCCAGGAAATTAAATTTCCAGCCCCTTTATATATTGGAGAAGTGGTTTTAGCATCTGCAGAAGTGAAAAGGCTGAAGCAGTTTGTTGCTGTTGTTGCAGTGTCCTGCTGTGTAATAGAGAGTAAAAAGACAGTTATGGAAGGTTGGGTTAAAGTTATGGTCCCAGAAGCTCCTGATACTAAAATACAAATTTAAAGTTGTATGTTCAAACTCCTGTGTTCTTGTTATTACGACATCTGAGGAAGTGGGACGTTGTTCTTCATTAAGGAGTGTCTGGTATACCTGGAAGCCATGTGGGGAAGGGGGGAACAAGCACACAGTTTGTTTCAGTGTCTACTTTCTCGACTGGCTTTCTGCTCTACCAAGACTTAAGTATGTACAAGGTTTCATCTGTGGAGGTTTGGGCTTTTTTCCCAATTATAAACGATTGAGAGCAGCTGGAGGAATGGCTCAGCAGTTGGGACCATTGGCTGCTCTTCCAGAGAATCTGGGTTTAATTCGTAGCACTCCACAGTCAGGGGATCCAGCACCATCTTCTGGGCTCTGCAGAAACCACATTCACATAGTGCACAGACATACACGCAGGCAAAACAGCCACACAAATACAGCAATAATAAAATGATATTTAAAAAATGAGAAAGCTGGGGCAGGAGAGATGGCTCAGAGGTTAAGAGCACCAATTGCTCTTCCAGAGGTCCTGAGTTCAATTCCCAGCAACCACATGGTGGCTCACAATTACCCATTATGAGAACTGGTGCCCTCTCCTGATGTGCAGATATACATGGAAGCAGAATGTTGTATACATAATAAATAAATAAAATCTTTTTTTAAAAAATGAGAAAGCTATCCGCATGCTTTACTTTCAGAATTTAAAACATAGTTATATTTGATTTTGATAACACCTACCCATACCTGTGTTGAGGAAGTTTCTTACTGAATTTATACCACCATAAACTTAGTTAATATCAGTAGTGATGGAAGTAGGGTCATCTTTGAATACCTGCTCTTTACCATTAAATATTCTTAAACCCTTTCCCAGTAATTTCTGGACTAGGGTTATAATCCATTACTATTTACCCCAAGCCGTATCTTGTGCTGGGTGTGGTAGCACACACCTTTACTCCCTACTTGGGAGGCAGAGGGAGATGGAGCTCAAGGCCAGCCTAGTGTGCACAGCAAGTTCCAGGACAGCCTTGGCTGTATAAAGAGAACTGTCAAAAAAAAAAAAAAAAAAAAAAATGCCATCAACTTCAACCTTCTGTGACTTGAGGTTTTTGCTGTTATTGGAGAGGGATTTGCAAGCAGCTTTGACTCAGTTATGTAAACTAATATGATGCAGAATTGTTGGAAATAATAGAAACATAGAATTAAGGAGAGGGTCAATAGCCAATATTATCCTCTCACCCTGGCCTTCTATGAGTGAGGTAGCTTTTTTGAGCCTGTCCTGGAACTAGCTCTTGTAGACCAGGCTGGTCTGGAACTCATAGAGAGCCACCTGCCTCTGCATCCCCATTGTTATGTGTGTGTGTGTGTGTGTTGTGTGTGTATTTGTGTGTATTTGTGTGTGTGTGCTTTGTGCATGTGGAGGCCAAAGGTCAGTCAGGTGTTACTCTGATAAGATTCTCCTTATCTTTTTTTCTCTCCACTTCCCCAAGCTCTGGGATTATATATAAGCACAAGCTTTGTTTTGTGCCTGCTTTGTTTGTTTACACATGGATTCTGGGGTTGAACTCAGGTCCTCAGAGTTACTCAGCCTGGCACTTTGTCAGCAGAACTCTCTATTCCAATAACTAGACTGGAACAGTTGAAGAGATTACTACAAAGAATTACTATAGTCACCAGAGGGCAGTCGTGTGTCTTAAGTCAGTTATAAGCCTATTCCGATTTCCTCCAGTGTGTGAAAGTGAGAAGAAAACACCAAAGCAGTGTCAGGAGCAAAGGTAGTACTGTAAGTCTCAGAATGGGCAGCACTGCAGACTGAGTTCATCTAAGGATGACTTAGTTCTCACCACGTCTCCAGACTTGATTAAATGTGTTAAATACCAGTAGAAAATAGAGAACTCAGGCCATCAGTTCACACTCCTGCAGAACTTATCTCCTGGGACTCATCAGCAGTCCTAAGTGTGGATACATAAATGGAGCATGATGTGATTTTTTTTTTTTACATTTCCCATAAGCTAATATTCTGCATTTACTATAATTCTTGAAAGAGCTTTATAAAGTTAATGGCCCCATTTTATTGACACAGAAGCAGACTGATAGCTTGCCCAGGGTCATACAGCTAATATGCAGTAGAGCTAGGATTCAAGCTTTAATTTCCTCTTTGCTACCACTGTGGATCTACAGGCTTTTCATTCCCGGAGCTCTGTCAATTTCAATAGCCTTTTGTTAAAATAGAACTCTTACACCCATTCAGATTGGTATCTCTGCTATAGTTGTAGAATTTCCCTATTCTGTAGCCATGGTTTCTACCCAATACCTGTCCCTCCCCAATAATAGTCAGGCCACATGGTCTAGTCTGGCTTTGAGCTCAACATCTTCCTGTTTCAGCTTCCCAGGTCCTGGTAAAACAAATGTGTAGCGCTGTGCTGGGCCACCTACCCTTTTCCTAAATGACATTCAGAGATTATGTTCAGAGGGCGAAAACACTACAAATCAGCTAGATGAAAAGGTAAGTTAGAGGCAGACATAGTGACTGATGCCTAATTCTAGCAATTCAGAGACTGAGGCAGGATATCTGTCCCAACCAACCAAAAGAAAAAGCTGTGTAAGCCATGCAGGGGATGGAGAGAGATGTCACTTTGGCTCATGGAGGATTTGCATTTAAAGCATTTTCACATTATTAATAGTTTGGGGTGGCCATGAACTTGGGTCTCTGTTAAACAGTAGAGTCTGTAGTCTGTAAGTGGTGACTCAGCCAAGGCTGTCAAGCTGCTCATTCTGTGTTAAAACAGCCACGAGGAGAAGTGACCATTCACTTTCTCAAGCCTACGGGAGATGCCAGAAAGAATGACCATCTTAAAATGAAAGGGGCTGATAACTGGGAGGGAACCTTGATTATACTAGGTCACATATGGAAGTGAGTGCAAAAGTAATGACTAAAATAGGCCAATTTGTCTAGCACTTTCCATATCAGGGGCATTATAAGACTGCAATTTATGTGACATTTGATTGGCACAGAAAGAATACCCATCTTAAGCAATTTTATCCTAATGTACTGGAGAATTGCTTAACAGACTGTTATATTCTGTTGGAAACATTTCCATATTGCTGAAATGCCACTCCTCCTCCCCACCCCCCCAGCAGCAAATCTTAGATTAATGGGTAGAGCCTCATCATGGCCACCATTTACCTTGTGGACTTGATTTGTGTGTTCTTCTAGAAAAAGAAATGTCTTAAGTGCATATCAGTACCTCTGAGATAACCATGGGTTTTCATTTTGGTCCAAATATTAGTCATTTTTCTTTTATGTTCCTAGAGTGTAATTCACAGACCCTGAGAAAATTGCTGTTAAATCACATCTATTAAGGGTTTATATTAAAACAGTTTGCCAAGGGTGAACTGTCACTCTGAGCAGCTGTGCCCTGCACTGCCTCATATGCTGGCATAGTTGTTTGAGTAGCTCCAGGTCAGCAGAATTGGGGTGCTGTCCAGTGACTGCCCTGTGTTTGTTTCATGGCTGGCTGCATGTGGTGCCATCTCAGGGTTCCAGGTGCTTTGTTCTATATTCTCTGCTTTCATTTGGATTGCAAAGACCACAATTCTCACCATCTTCAGAGAAATTTAGAGTTGGAGCAGAATAATCAGCTATAAGAAAATCCAAATAATGTGTACATCAAGTCAAACAAGATTAAAGACTCCATAAGTTTTATTCCTAAAGTGGCTCTTAGCTATAAATTGTTTCGGCATTATGCCCTGAACAGATTTTCCCAGTGTTATTATAGAAAATGACAACAAATGAATGTCGATGAGTTGAATTTTGTTTAGTATCCAGACCATGAATATTTAAAGAAATGAAGTAATTGGGAGTTTTAAGACCACTCTGCTTCAGTGATCTGATTTGTATAGCAGTTGTCAGGCCTAGAAATTTCCTCACTAAAATACATCATGTTCAATCAATCTCGCCAGACCTCAGGTTGTTAGGTAAACAGTCCATGAGCTGTCTAAACATTTGGCAACATAGCAGAATATAAAAACCCTTCTTTCTTCTGTTAGCCTACAAGTAGCTGTATGCATGCAAAAAGCAAAACTATGACATTTTCTCTTTCCTTAAGTTTATTTAGCCCAAGACTAGAAAACCAAGTCTGATTAGACTTAGATCAACTCTGGCCTGGGAAGAGCTTCCCCATATTTAGTCTGTGTCATTTCAAATGGCAGACAGAGCCAGGCACAGAAGCCTGCATCTGTAGTTGGCCACTTAGGGGCTCAGGCAGGAAAGAGAATCACTGGATCCCCAGGAGGTCAAGTTTTTAAATTAGGGATTTAAAAAGCAGCAAAAGCCAGATGAATCTTGAGGTTGTTGTGGGGTTTGGAGTCTGGTCTGTATGTCCCAAGATTCTCAGGGGGTTGCTGACAAGAAAACAAATAGGCTTAGCAGAAGTGTGTGTCCTGTGGGGCTTCCGG